GCCTTCAATTTTCAATGAAAGACAAAGCTCATAATTCAAGAATTAAGACTTGTGTTGACCAACAGATTATAAACGGTCGTTCAGAATCGTGTATAGGACAGATGGTACTTAGTAGATATAAAATTTCACATTATTGAATCTGATTTTTAAAATTCCCATTACATTTCGAACAGATATTTCAGAGTTCGGACCAAATTCCGTTTTCACCAAGTTACTACGATAAGAACTTTGTCGGACGTGCCGACGAATTAATTTTAGTGTGCTATTGTGTATGATAAGTTTCAGAGTCTGAAGATCGAAACTTCGAACAAGAAACACACATTGTTTTTCAAAATGTTCTTGTTTCATATTTGCTACTGATAACGTACAAAGATAAAGAATTTATTTATTTTATATAGTTATGCCCTTTTCGTCAGTTCAGCATCAGAAATATTGCAAAAATGTTTGGAAATCTAACACCGTTCCCTTAGAGAAAACGTTCTTAAATGTTGATAGATTTACTTTTTTAAGAAGATATTATATAAGCTGGTATTCTGGTATAAAATTACACATATAAGCTTACGGCTTTGCGTAAATTGACGCGGGCCTAGTCTACCGTGTAACGAATTTTGGTATTTTTGTTTTTTTAATAAAAATCGCATATTTTCGAAAAAGGCGTGTTTTACGCTCGATTGAATGTGGTTAGCCTACCTGTCGTCAGTAAAGACGAAACTGTCGCTGTTCTGATGACCTAGAAAGTTCTCATAGTGTAGCGTTATGTATCTTTCGACATAAATATATTTTTAATCTATCTTTTGGTTGAATTATCGAGTTCTTTTGATGAAGTGCAACACGAAGCATGGGCGATACATGAGACGCAAATCTCAGTGCAATTTTTAGAGTAACATGCATGGCTGATTGAATACAATGTGTGGACTCTCAACAATAGACGAGATGAACCTAGACTGATTTATACGTTGGGTGGGCGGTTAGCGATTAAATGAGTTGGAATGTTATGATTATGTTCATAAAGGCAGTGTGGTTAGAAGGGTGTAAATCGGTTAATATGCAGAAGGAATATGGAATTTTCAATAGGTCGACCACTGCTTTCCTGTTATAGGTAACGAGGCCCGATGCGGACATGTGAGCCAACTTTGTTTCACCATATTATTCCAAAATAATAACTTCATTGGATAAAATAGACTAATGCCTCAGAAATGGGATTGTGTTTAGATTGTCAGGTGAATTTGTTGTCTGGGCTCCCTTATGGTTACTAGAGAATAAAATATGATTTTGGGGTTGCGTTGATAAATAGAGTGAGACACGACAACTGAATAACTTTTTACAACTGTGAATTTATAGTTTATTTGAATGAAAACAGATCTGCAGACCATTGCTTTTCGAATAAAAAGTTGAAAGATACAATTATGTATTCCCGCTTTTCTGTAAAAAAGTACCAACATTTCGTAATAAAGACCTTTAAGCTGTATTTACTCACGTCATTATTTCTACTCGAAGACATAACTGTTGACCATGCTTGTTTGAGAGATTGTCTAGGCAAACTTTTTTATTTCCAACATTAAACATAACGAATGGTCGTTAATTGCGGACAATTCAGATTTGTTTACAGCACTTCGATAAGTCGCTATGATATCCTTCCAGCTGAGAAGCCCTAAACTTTATTTTATGACTCAATTGATGATCGTTAATCTTTAATTACAACAGAGATTGAAATTGGGACACTGTATAATGAGAAATATATTAATTTAGCTCGGTTCATTTTATTTTGCTTGTGGTAGTCTTGTTGGGTACAAAATTTAATTTTAAATTTAAATTTAATATTTTCTGTGCGTGTAATCAGTAGGCTGTTGTATAATTTTCGGTGTTTATAGTTGTGATAGGAGTCATGATTTGTTAATTTTAGTGAATCCGCATCCAGAGAACTACAGTATGAACATTTTGTGAGATCAGGGCTGTGAGTTATTTCTACGATGTGGAAAATATTTGTAATTTTCAGTTTTTAATGTTTAATTTATTCACGGCGAATTACTTGGTTTTTCCAATGACTTATCTTTTCATCAAATACTACCAGTTTCTCGCCAAATACCAGTAAATTGTTGGGCTATGATGTTGATATCCTTTACAGTTATTTTCTGATCTTAAAACTCAGTGCCTTATAGAATTGAGTATTTAAGTACTGGAGGCTTTTTAAACACCTTTTGTCCTTTAAGAAATGATAAATATGGTGAAATTTTCCTAAATTACTCATATGAATCCCCCCTTTAAGTATGTTGACGTATTAGGGTGTGTTCGAGATTTTAACTGGGTGTCAAAGTTCAAATATTTTTGTTTAAAATAATTTATGACTTGGCATTCTTAATTCACTATCATGTGTAGAACATTGATAAGAATATCCCAGAGATAGAGCTCATTATAGTTTCATGCTTGACTTATCTAAGAAATAAATGTTTAAACAAAACTGCAGTTTTTTGAAAATGTTTTACGTTGCATGGTTGAATGCCTTTTAATGGTAAACATTTTAGCAAAAGTTTTAACATATTTTCGACCTATTTTTAAACTTGAAATTTCACTACAATGCGATTTCATTTTTTTTAGGGGAATTTGTATGAATAATGATGTAAATTTTCAAATAAATACATTTTAGCGTTAAAAATACGTAATAAAGTAAAAAGTTAGAATTATAACCGGGTATGTGTGCGTCAACATCTTAACGAAATAAAATTAGCCAGCTTTGATCTAAAAACACATGCAAATTTAGTAATTTTATATTATGTAGAATAAAGTTTCCCAAAACTTATCAGCTGGAGATTAGCGATTTTAAACTAAAAATAGACAACACAGTGCCCAGTTTTTGTACTTTACTTTCAATCAAAATTATGTGGTTTATTTTCGATTTTTGGATCAAGAAAACCATGATATATTTTGCTGAGCGTCATTCAGGATTGAATATGTTCTATTGTATATATGTACGATATTTTGAAATTTTTGGTGGTAAAATTTGAGTCATTGATAAATAGCTGCATTGCGAAATTAATGTATGACCCATGCTTGCAAAGAACTAATTTTAATTTGTTTATCACATACACTGGGAGTCACTTCAATATATTAGGTTTAATTTAGATATATTATACATACTGTTATTGGTGTCTAGTCACAATAGCATAATAAAATATCTCACGGCGACTAAATTTCTGAGTCACTCTGGGGCGGTTTCCTCAAAAGTCGTGTTATTTTTGATACTTTAACGTAAAAATGCTCAACCGTTCGCGTATGGCCCACACATAAACTGTGTTTATAATATCATTTATGCTTGGTTTAACTATGGATATGGAAAATTACATAATGAGTGTGAGATATATTCAAAGCTGTTTTGTAAAATTTGACATATTTTGCCGGGATGTGGAATAATATTTATTCAAGATAATATAACCCGTTTCGATCGTATATACTTTATACGTACATACAGCGATTTCCTGATTTTAACACCAACGGACTGTGGCCTTTTCCGTATGTTTTTTTCGAATTTTCAACTTTGATTGTGACATTGATATGTGCAGATAACATATTTGTTCCGGACTGATAGTCTGATTCCTAAATTAATGGCCTGGTTCGTGTTGGAATGTTTCGGAAGAGTGGGTGATTTTTGCGGTAAGACTCTATGCTCCCTGTCAAAGTGCTGTAAATTATCAAAAAAGGACATTTAGACGTATACAGACACGTGAAAAATAAAAAAAATGAAGTATGTAACAGGACCTTTCAGTCAAAATTTTTTCATGAATCCCTAAATGTTTTATACGAAACCTAGCCTAACACATATTTTGTTTCCCATTTACTTATAAATTATCAGATTTTAAATAATTCTTCACATTTACTACGTTTTATCGGACATATCTCTGGTATAGTCCGTGATAGATCGCGATAGAAAAATTATCCTACAAAATGAAAGTTTTCAAGGATGCCAGGTTTTCGTAACGTATTTTAGTTGCAGGGTACTGTAATTGAACGTGTCTTTACAGTTAACAAAGTATGCAAATATATCTAATCGTTGAAAAAAATCGCTAGAACAAGTAATATTTGTTCTTGTGGGTAGATAGCACGACCCATTTATCAGATAATCGAGATAGTATATGTAAATATGAAACGATGAATGACTCCCAAATATTTGATCGACTGTCCAATGCATTCCTTTCAAGCCAATATGAATTGGAAATAAAATATACATTGATAAATTATCTTACGTAGATCAGCATACCAAACGTAGCTTTGTGGGGAGAGAATTGAAAAACATTGTAGCATCGAATGGCGATTTCATATTAAAATTTGCGTCGTCTGCAGCAGAAGAGTGTAACGTTACGATGGTGTTGCCAGATTTGATCTCAATGCAATGTGAGCTTTATACCGATATCCTGTGGTTTCTCAAGTTTTACTTTGAGCTACATTGGATTATTTTCGACGGGACGTGCACGATCTTCTGGATACGCTAAATAAGTTTTCTTAGTTTGTGGTAACGAATTGTGATTTGAACGCAAACCAGCATGATCCGAGTGTAACTAGGAAAGCGAATTTGAAAAAGATTTGATATTGTTTAGCCTATAGAATCAATAAATGATATGCGCCTGAAATGTTATACTAATTTTACATTTCACATGACGGTTTAGAGCAATATTACATTTTAATCGTCTGTGACTAATTTTTGATGGTGTGTTTATGACCATACCCCACTTCTTACTCATTTCAGGCTATATGATCGGTTCCTAACGAGGGTTAAATAGATTATTAAAGAAAAAGATTATTAAAGGAACGATTCAAGAACATAGATAAAATTTTAAAAAGGGTATCGCAATACAGCTTCTATGTGAAACTCTGTTTGACGCTCTTCTTCGTGTTATTTACCTTTCGTTATGTTCTTCAACATGGGCATTCGGGTCAATTTGCAGTTCGTTTACAGTCGCGAACCTTCCAATTTACGAATTGAATAAGCATATTATTTTTTTCACCAGGGATCTATAAAATTACAGCCATCCGATCGTATAGAAATATCGGAAAAATTGGGAACGTACTTCTTGAATATACATGAATTAAAAGCAACTGACGCTGGCACATATAAGTGCGTGGCCATGAATAGATCAGGCAAATCTACAGTTAGCTTCGAGCTGAGGCTTGCAGGTAAAATAAAGTATTTTCAACTTACATTTCATAACAAACATTGGATCCATTTGTACCCATACGACCATTTCTTAGTTCATATATATACATTACGCTGTGTGAAAATTACAAATTCGAAAATTTATTATTTATCAAGCGTTAACAATCACCCAATCGATCATGTAATTGGACAGATTTTCATTATAATTTTTTTTACACAATAGCGCTTTAGATGTACGTATATCTCTGTTATGTGTTTGTGGTAAATCATGCTTAAATCATATCAAAAATTTCATTTATGGACCATCTTATATTTGACTCAAGCCTGATTATATATAAGTTGTTAGAAATTTTAGCATAAACGAATATATTATCCTGATGTTCATTTCTGAATCAAATTGTTTATTTTTGAATTACAGCCAGAGGACCAACGAAATCTGTCACCGATGCTGCACCAACGTTTTCTCAGCCTTTGACTGAGGTTGAAGTCAATGAAGGTGGAAGAGCTCGATTTGAATGTAAAATTGAGGGAAAACCAAAACCTACTGTCACGTGGGAAAAGGTAACATGATTATCCGATTATCTATTTGAATCGTTTTGCATACTGGTATCTTATGCGAAAACCCTTATGCGCGAAACACTAATCTCGCCATGGATTCTACATACAAAGCTTTCTCTTACCATTTTCTATTGTATTATAGATTCATGCTCTCAGACTTAATATCAATTCATAGTTACCTGAAGTATTATGCGTTAAATCAGCTGTTCGCTTATATTAGTCTCGCGCATAAATATACTCCTTCAAGTTCGAGAATATGAGCGCCGTCTAGCGGAAATATATGACTGCCGAACACCCCAATGAAGTGCCTCACATTTTTGCAAGACTGTTTTCAAAACAGGGTCATTCGGAAGTAGAGGAGACGTAATTGTTGTTATTTGTATAAGTATGTATTATTTGATCGATACCTTGTTGGCTGTTACGACCAATGAATAGAAAAAATTGCGCAAATATTAAAAACCAAACGAATTGTCAAATATGGAATCGTTCGAAATTAACCTCATTATCACGCACCACAAAATTTTGAAATAGCTCTTTCAAACATTTTAGGAATTTCTGATTCGCCTAAACCTACTTATATGTCACTCTATGTTATCAATAATTGGCAGTCTATAATATTATAATATCTACCCTTTTCACGATCATTCATCGCTCTGTTGACGCACAATAATTGTAGCGCGGACGCTATCGAAAATGTTACGCTGGATTTTACACTAGTAGCTAAAGAAGTTTACGGTAGGAAAGACGTATCTGTTAGTGTTTCGCGGGTTTTGGAGTTTAGTATAATCTATTGAGGTATGGAAACTAGTATCAATCATTTATATTTCAAAAAATGATCAAAATTTGTAATCTTTGAATGAAAAATATTGACTGTTGTCTGAAAATATTATATATTCTGGTTGTCTAGTAAGAAATGAGACAGATTAACAAATTGATTCTTATTTTGCCTAATCAAATAACAACGGAGAATATACTGTGTAAATAGGTATGATTAAATGTGACAATTTCCAGTGTAAGCATAGCTTTATTTCAACGAAAAATTTAATTCGCAGGTAATTATAGTCAGTTAAAATTAGTTTGTTTGAAGTGTTCATCATCTTCACTTTAAGCTCTATAAGTTAATTGATATGTAAGGAGATAAGAAATTTTTCGATGTACCATAATATTTTGATTTGATGTTTCAGGTCTCAATCAAAAATCTTGAAATACTAGGCCAAGGCATATTTCATGAACTTTTAATCGTATTAAATCGTTCATAATTATCTAATTCTAGATAGACGAGTTTCTACAGAAAACCTGATTTAAAGGTTTTATTGCTTAAATCTTTCTCTTGACGTTACTTTCATTAACCGTTGATCTTTTTGACCCATTCAGCTTTAGGCTATCGTTAAATATATATCATTGTATCTGGTCAAAAGTTATTTCGATGGACAACGTTGGCGGCCGTATTCAGTCTTCATAGCATTCAATTAGATTCAACTATTTTAGGGTTTAATTAAACGGGCAGTAAAATTGGTCTGAATACGCGATTTCTGAGCAGACCACGCATGCCAGAGGAAGTCAATATTAATAACATCTGTATAAGTGGTCACATAGGAAAAAGTTGCTGGTTTGTCAACAAAAGCCCATTTTGAATTAATTTATTGGAGGAGTGTCACAGTTTATAAAAACCTTGAACGTAAATCTATGGTTTTGTATAAGCATTTTGTTTGCCTGTGTGCAGATATGCCTCCTCGATCATATTGAAATGCAGTGGTTACGCTTTAGAGGGCATATATTGTAATGAATCGGTTGAAAATTAGCCAACGGAAGCGTGAAACGAAGATGTGCCATAAAAAATGCTAATTTATTGGAAGAAAATGTGATGCAGTAAACAGAGATACTGTATAAGGAAAAGCGAAGAAAGGGCCAGATTGATAGACAAATTCGAAACACAGTAAGGATTAGACAAGGCATGAAGAAAAGACATCAAGCAACTAGAAACGGTTCAAAAAGTCATAAAGACATATTGAGCCCAATTTTGTTTAAAGCTGTACAATTACATGATTCAATGCAGAAGTATTCCATTCATACATGTGACTACTCCGTAGGACAATGAAATAAAAGATAACGGTTCCAAAGCATATTTTTGAAATTAAGGGAAGAGTTGACGCACAAATGGACCGTTTTTATTTTGTGACGTTAATCAGGTTCAACAATCATCGGACATTTAGCCTTGAGGCATAACCGGTGTTAACAAATTTTCACACATCAAAGGACCTATGTTTTGAACATATTTGCAAGGATTATTGATAACGAAAGGATTTCATACTCATGATTTCATACGAGCGTCTGATTGCTTGACGACTTGTTCGGAAAATGCAATACCAGATGTAGTTAGGGAGTGTTACCAATCTCCTTTAGCACTTGCTCATATCCGGGCCGATATATAAATTACAAGCGAATTTTTTATTTTTGTATATATTATATTTAAATGATGCAAAATGTCTAAAAATATCTATCTATCCAAAATATAAACAAACATACTCTTTTTGTTTATAAAAAATCATGAAACTATGAGGATGTGGCTTTGCTTCGTGTCAATGTGGTTTAAGTCAACTGTACCTTTTAGATAATAAATATATCACGGGGACATGTATGATTAAGCAAGATCAGCGACTACTAGGCCAAATTTTAAAAATATAGTTCAATATGCGTGAAGTTGTCTGATATGATAAGAAACGACACATTTCCATACATGTTCAAAATCTAACCCGGTGATATGATTTCATATTATTACTTATTTTCACCCGTGTTATGCAAATTTGTTATAATCGCGACGTGTTGTCTCTGGGTTAACACGGAATTAAATTACATTAATGGGTAGTGTGTTTCCGTGTGAAAGTTATTCGAACTAGAATTTTTTTTGCGAATGTTATAATTATCCGAGAAGGATACTTCAAACATTCCTTTTAGTGTAGGTTGCTTGCTAGACACTAGTTAGCCAGAATGAAGTGTCGAAATCCGGTTATATGCGCTCAAAATTATCTTCAATGGGAGGGAACACGCGTCGCATTATCCTATTTACGTATATCGGCGATTTTGTGTCCCTATCAAAACAAATTCGCAACTCTTTGAATACGGCAACGCGGCTTCAAGTTATGCCAACTATTTTAAACCACGTTTGTCTGAAAGACAATGGCATAGTCGGTTATGAAAAGATATCTTTATTGAGAATAGTAATGTAGCATTGGTTTAGGTTTTTAGTTGCTTTTTGGGAGTTTAGGAAAGATTTGTATTTGCTAGTTTGAGAATAAAATTGAGAACATGCGAGGCCCATACTTGGGATATGGATAAACACATGATTCGGGTTTAACCTGCCCCAATGAAATATGATTTCTTTAAAATTTGTGGATTTTTGAGAAAGTGTGTTGTGCTCAATTTAGGAGTCCAAGTTAATGTTTAATGCATTTTAATGTATGCTTTGTTTCAACTGATTTAACGGTAACTACACTGTACTTCTGACCGACGTTTTTGGAAATTTTAGTCTGTGTTATAACTTGTTCGGTAACGAGGATCAAAATCTGACCAAAATTTTCGGACCTATTCCCGGGTTCAGTTTATGAAGTGAGTTTGATTTCGACTTGCGGGCATTCAGTTACGAACAGAGCAGACAGTTACAACATTTGAACAGTATTCACGCTATTTATTTAACTCGCTTCACATTCTGTCATGAGAGAGGATCCAGAAATTTCAAGTCGAAAACTTGGTAATATCTTTCAGGTTCGGATCGGTTAGAGTTAAACAAAGTAGGCTCACTTGCAATTGTGTTGCAACATTTTTTTAAAGCTTTTTCCTAGAAAAAAATAAAGTAATAGTCGGTGTCAGATATTTATTGGTATCATTTTCGCAGATCAAAAAAAAATATGTATACACTATGTAAATATGGAAAATAATTAGTTTCACAGAAATGTAATAAATTGGCTGGGCTATTAGCGGAAGCTAAAAATTTTCAGCTCTTCGAAAATATAGAAGTCCTCATCTACCAGGTCCGCTTATGTAGATCCTTATTCGGAGCAAAATATCGCACCAAAAACGATGAAATATTATTCTATAAGACCTATCTCTGAATGATATTACCAGGTTTTTCGCTGTTTTTAAGCTGACTATATTGTCATTAAAGTAAAGAATAAACAACGTTTTGACATGATCAGCAACTGTAAGAATGTGATATTATATATTGCCGTAATTTTAATGTTTTCCAAATTGACATGCTCATGTATAATTTAACGATATTAAATGACAATAATTTTGCATGTTTATGTTATTTTTTGTGCTCATCATTCTTGTGCATCCTGTGTGCATCATTCATACTGCCATTGTTATTCAATGTTTTATATGCATATGTAGAGTTAGGGTGCTGGGTATGGGGTTAGGGATAAGATAACTACAAATTCGGTATATATAGAAAATTGGAATTAAATGTCAGGTATTGAACTGGGTGCCGGTTGGCCTCTTGAGCCGATCTTTTGGACGCGATACATTCAAGAGGTAAGATATTGCTTTCCTGTATAACGGTATTTATATTTGTGGAGATCTGAAATTGTCATCCAAATTTATAATGTATCTCTATTAGATTTGGCCGCGTTTGCCATACTCCGCTTTTATAAGTTTCAGTAATTTCTGGTTAAAATTTACCTACAGTCAGATTTCGGAATCTTACGATATTCCCATTCAACAAATTGACTACAGTAGAATTATATCACACACCAAATTTAGGATACTGAATAGTCTAAATTCATTTCATTGTCAACTTAGGCAATTTTTATGATTTATTACATCCATAACACCCCATTTAAAAACGGAAATAGGTCAACTTTGCAATTTATAGCATTTTACTGGAAACGTGACCTTATGTATTGTCAAGCTTGGCTCGGGCGTTTCAATGTTGCACTTTTGAGCTCCTCTTTTTGTAGTTTTGGGTACGTCAAACTGAAAAGCAGTCGGGCATTATCTATATTTTCCACTTTAGTCTTAACAATTTATATCCCTTCTTATTGAGATGTTTTATTTTTCAAATGTGGTATAGTCATATCCATGTTGATGATGGAATTTCAAATTTTTCAGTCAGATTTCAGAGCTATATTTTCTCTTGTTTTTTGGCAAAAAACATACTTTGTCATAAAAAAGGATTCCAATTTTGGCGGTGAAAGTGACGCAAGCTTACAACGTCAATCTGTGAATGCAATCTCTCTATGGTCGGGTTGCCGAACTCCTTATATGGAGCGGCTCTATGCGGTTTATTCCGAACGTTTTTCTCTGAGCAAGAATTTTCGCCGTCGGCCCGAAATCACTGATGCGTAACGAAGACGACACTGGGAAATGGTTTAGTGTTGCCGTTTTTATTTTTATTTCTCAGTTGTTTTGTCGTTGTTTAGGCTGTGCAGTATTGGAGAATAGGGTTAGCTTCTCCGTTCTATGGTGCCGCCGGCATTGATTCTGCAGGCAAGGTAGGCAAACGGTATAAATTAGTTTTACCGACCTTAGCTATTTATTTCTTGTTCGTTAGCTTGCTTGTCTGAGATATTTATAAAAAATAATGTTCGTATTAACGCTCGGCCGAGTGTAGCATACGCAATACTAAATGTAGCATTTAAATTAAGGAGGGTTATTTAATATGAAGCACGCGCGAAGAAATAAAAACATAAAATTGGGCAATAAATATTTATGACGCGGAAAGCGATAATAAAAAAAAATGAAAATCGATCAAACGTGAAGAGACATTAAAACTATGTTTTTGTATAATTCATACTTGACTGTGCTTGCGCAATGAAATGCAAGAAACTGTTGAAAAAATATAAAAATTTGTTTGCATTAGTGAGTAAATGAGTTTTTTGTCTAGCATAACGATTATATTTGTTATTCATAAAGGGCTGCAAAGTTGATTGAATTGTATGTTTTAATGATAAAGTAAAGAAGTGTTATGAGACGAAGTGACGACGGTAATAATGTGGCTTATCTTAACCGATCTATTACGGCTAGGGTTATTCGGCAAATAAGGGAGCCCATATTTAAATATTATATTAGCGAATATCATTATTGACGAAATACAAATATGTTCGAAATACGCGATGATTGAACTACGGAATTATCCATTTAATGAACAGGGCAAATTTCAATCATAAAAGGGTTTAAATTATGAATACTATTATTAAAACACGTTTCGGTTCTACTCTGCTATTTCCCGTAAATAATTTTTTGTCTGTTTGTCTATTTACGTAGTCTGTTTACATTAGGCTAGGTTCGGATATTGCCTTATTTCTTATCTTAGCCGGAGATAAACAAAATCAAAGAAATAGATTAGAAAAATGCCGGTACGATACCCGATTAGTTCCCAGTTTTTAACAATTTTTTTTCATTCTTTCTAAAATTCCCTTGGTATTTTGGCCATCGTTTTATGAAAGTCGCTTTTTAGCGATAAAATAAAACTCTAGATCTCTAGTGGTGATATTGTCGATAACCTGTCGCTCAAAGCACTTAAATGGTTTCTAATTTGTATATTTACATTTTTCGACAACTTTGATGCTAACTTGAACTTTTGATCGACGTCCCGCTTCTGAAGATAAAGAGATTGGTGCGATGCAGCCAAGCGTATTTACTGCGGCGTGGTGTCTTTGTAATGTAAATGGCGAGGTGATAGTGGCTGTGAAGGCGATGATGATTGTATTAAAATTGATAGAAAAGAGTCCTATTTCTGAGTTTTGTTATTTTTCATCTGTTCCGAGAAATCGTGTCGAGAAATTAATATAATAATCGCTAAATGTGTTTCGAATCGTCAATATCCTAAATTTTTCTATCAAAACGCCAGTGGCCTTCCTGGGATTTCTGAAGGACAATATCTCTCTGTTTTCTGTTATTCTTTTATTTGGAAGTTTTTTCAAAACAGTCCCACGTGAATAAAATCAGTGTTTCTTTTATTTTCATCATTTTAGGACGGAAAAGAGATCACAGCAAGTAGTCGTGTTCGTATTATGGAAATGTATGGAACTCATAGCCTAGTATTATCACGTACGGATCACGCAGATACAGGAACATATTCTATTCGGGCATCTAATCACGTCGGCAACGAGACTTGTTCTGCACAATTGCGAGTGAAAGGTGAGTACATGCAATTCTAGCTGTTAAGAAAGGAGCGAATAATATCTAAGATACATCTTTGGACCTTGGTTATATTCAACATGAGTTTTCCGATGAGTAGGTGCTAATTCGCATTCTTTGTTGCTTCCGCTGACATAATTTAGTCTACACATTATAAGTAGCAATTAACTCAAACAAGCTCAAAGTTAAACTAATTCTACATTTTTTCCGAGAAGGCGTTATAATAAACACATCGGCGCACGGTCGAAACGAAAGGTAATTTTCTAAAATGAGTTCAAATACCAGAATAAACATACAATACATGGCTTGTTTGGTTATTATTTGTAATCTTTTCTTGTCGAAATAGAGATCTCGGTTTCAATGTTTTATTTATTCAGTATTAAAGGTTTGTCCAATCTAATTGATCTTGGGCCGTCACATTAGCAGCTAAGCTCCCAATCTGCATGTTACTGATTGTACAAATCCATGTTTTTAACAATGCTTAAAAAACACAACATAAAACGCATAAAGCCATCTAACTAGTAATCTTTGAAACTTTGACCCCTTTTTGATTTTTTTTGCATCTATTCCAATGTTCCCACGTAATTTTGCTGTTCCATCCCAACTATAACGTAAATTCCCATTTCGTTCATTTGGCGAATTATCGCTACCCTAATTGTTATTATTTAAAACTGTATTAATATAATTGAACATACCCCAATTATAGCAAAAATTCATGACCTCATATGACCTTCCGATTATGACTTTGAAATCACCGTACAAAATACAATTTGACCTTGGCATAGATAAACTAGACATTTAATTTAACAAATAATACTTCTAATGCTACATTGCTGATTTTAGAACGTCTTCATTGTTAAGTGATTTCGGTCAATCCTAAAAAAAGCAGAAAAAAGACATGAATTTAACTGTATTCCAATTCAAATGTACAAGCTAACATTGGGTAAATATGGAATTAATTTCTAGAGCGTAATAACATACAAAAATAACTTGGCATAATGAAAATTTTTGATAGTACGCAAACGATATTTAACGACGATCAATCATTGACCAAATTACCCATGAATGTTTGTTGCCCAAAGTGACACAGGTGCATAATTAGACATAGAAAATTTCGATGTTAAAGGAGCTAAATTACACTTAATTAATATCTATTTTGTAACGACAAAATTCTCCCAAGTCTTTAGGTCAATCGGGGTCGCGCTAATTGCCGCTCTGTTTAATTATAGTACTTTTTTAGTTTCATTTTATTATTTCGTATTTTATTATAATTCAATTGATTGGGCATTATTTAAAATAAGCTGCATTGCAGTGTTTATTGGACACTAAGTGGACCTGTGGATCGTTTTCTAATTACCTCTTGTTGTTATTCGTGTTGCTGTTGTTGAAAAATAATCGCTCTTCTCCCTCACCAATAGAACAATCAATTTCAAATTTGCAATAATTGAAGTCAGATAATGGCATTACATTTATTTTTAATTTTTATATGAAATCTATAAGACGACATATTTCACCAAACAAATTGCCGTTTTTAACTAAATTGGAACACCATTTATTCCGCATTGATCGACCGGCTATGTATTACTTGTCCGCGTATGTTTTCAGCAAATTCGATGCTTTCAGGCCTTACTGTACCTGTAGCGATCTTCGTGTCGATATGATTGGGCATTGCTTACTTGTTTTGGAGTTAGTAAGTCGACTATTAAACCATACCAGCTGTTTCTTTTATGAGACCAATAAAATATTTGATTCATTTCTAACTGCCATTATTGTGAAGCCACTTCTATGTGTTGGTAGAACGAAAATGAAACAAGTTACACTGGCGTATAATCATCGTCTTTAATGTTTGAGAACAGATTTCAACATGGTTTGTTTTGATATAAAATCATCAGATTTCTGCATTTCAAAATTGGAACAAATACCGTATTTTGCGAAAATATCTGTACAAAATCAATCTTGAATCTAATTTCTAAATATTCATAGTCAGACATTTTTAAATATTTGGTCCTAGCCAGATTCTGATTAGGTGACGACATAATAAAAATTACTCGGTAATGATCTGAATACCTTTCTAATGTAATCATTTTTTTTCTAGAATCTTCATACTCCAGCCGCTCTAGTACTCCAAGAGGTCGTCGATCTGGGCAGGACAGTTCAGAAGTGGCCACACCCACCTATTCTAGCTCCGGTAGTCCAGCAACGTCAGCCCTGAGTTCTCCATCCATGTCGCCCAAATTGGGGCGCGCCGCCAATTCGCGGCTAGTTTCAGGATCAGTATCGTCATGGACTACAGAGAAATCTCGTTCGAGCAGCGGAAGTGGGTCGTCACCAAGACGCAGAGCACCGGGATTTATCTTACGACCAAGGCCCCAAAATGTCGAAGCTGGAGAAAAGTAAGTATTGTAGTAAACTAGTAACACCTTCTCGGCGAAAATGCGACGACGTCACATTTTTTTATAATTTTTATATGACGTATTGCGCTTTCGCCCTGAACAAGGCTTTGTACAAGAGATCACTCATACTGAAGGAGCTGCGATTTTTGGAAGGACCAGAATCGTTCCATTTCATCATTGCCAACCCAATCTAATACACCTTAGATGAGGTGTTGGGCATAGTTGCCTGAAATCTTTACGTTTGGCCAGCGCTCCTTGAATTTGTATATTCAAATATTTCAAGTAAATCGTTTGTATGGGATATGGTGAATATTTACAGACGTGGACAACGAATAGTGGTCTTTTTTTTATTTTGATTGGAATTAGGTACACTTATTTGAAAAATGCCACAAGAAATATTTTCAAATTTTCAAGGTTATTTTCCCGTTTTGTTGTGTTGTAATTCAATAAACTCCATTACAATTATATCAATTTTAGGCTCATTCTCAAATGCACCATACTTGGTCATCCTAAACCAACTATAATATGGGAACGCGATGGAACCAAATTTGAAGATATCAACGATGATCGGGTGATTATTCGTGAAGATGGAAACGACCATTACCTTGAAATTGAAGACTGTAATGCAGACGACGCTGGGAAATATTCTGTTCAGGCTAAAAATTCACTGGGCAGGCAAACAGCTACCGTGGATGTTCATGTTCTTGGAGCGGGAAGCAAAGGTACTTTTGTGTTTGCAATTGTTTACTGCCAATCGTTTGCTCTATGATTGATCCGTCTCACTGTGACAAATATGAAAAAATCTGTCTAGCATAGCCGTGTAAAAATGAGCTGGCGAAATATCTGGGCGATGTAGTTTGTCCGAGCACTTAGTATTTGTCTCGGTCGATATGAAGCATACTTCCTGGCGCATGTTCACTGAACGACGTACGTACTTCTGTTTGGCGCGGCACAACCATTTTTGCATATGTTATTGCATGACGTAATTTTCGAACGACGTAGTCAGGTGGGGGTTAGGAATAACATATGCAAAACGGTTGTGTCACGCCAGCTAGAAGTAGGCTACTTACGTAGTGTTGTGAACATGGCCCGACTTCAGTTGGTGTGTGTATTGCTTTCCTTCTAAATGAGCTGGTACAGGCTTCCTCAAACTGGGTCCTCGGCCCATCTTGTTGGCCACGGAGCGGTTCTCTGTAGGCCATGACCAAATAGGTTTCATTAAGTATCATTTGCGAAGAGTATATCAATTTGAGATAAATTATCTGCAATTTTTTTTGAATGTAATGCTTTATTAGTCGCGTTGAAAACAAAACTATATATTTTTATAGAAGAGTAGGGAGCCCACTAGTGTTGAAAGTCTTTGGAATTTTGAATTTTGAATCCATTAGTATAGGACACGGGTCCATGATTTCGTCAATTGCGAAGAAAATTTTTTTTTGCGAAGTTACTTTCGTTTGTTTTTGACTTCTTAGCTTACGGTTCTATTAACCATATCATTTTCTTTTTGTACTAATATACAGGTTACGAAAAGCCAAGTCGTACCGTTGTCCATAGCAATGAAATTACAGATAAGCTCAATAACAACACTACTCGCGGCAACAAGTCACAACACCTTGAAATTACCATAAGTAAGTATCATGGATAGAAAAAGAAATTTTACACCTAAAGTTAACCCAAGCATGGATCGTTGTGCGATGTTGCTGTTATTGATCTGTTTGGGATTGTCGTAAAAATCGCTCCTCCTCGCAATAATAGTTCAATAAATTTCATATTTTTAATATCTGATTTCGCTATTACTATTATTTTTTTTTAACGTCAAGTATTCCTGACATTGCGTTAGTCATTAATCTGCGTGTACCATATCTTCGAGCATTGCTTTCTTGTTATTTAATACCGATTTTTTGAACAGCTATCCTTCCACATACCCCCTAATTTGGGCTCTCCAGAAGTCGTAATGGAACTAAAATAAGAAAAATTGGAATAAAATTATGGCCCAACTCTAACCTGGTACACATACTACGGGAGTACCTCAATTTGTATCTTTTCTATATTATAGATTCGTCAAATAGAAATTTAGCTTCATCACGCATATCCACATCTTCGTCACGCTCGATATCATCCAACGAAGATACTATGACGTCTCCATATAGATCAAGAAGATCTAACCAAGTTGCACCAACCTTTACAAGAAGGCTTTCAAGCACTCAAGTTTTAGAAGGTATGCCGTATAAATAAAAGAGTTACTATAAATTCTGTTAAAGCTTAAAAGAAGTTCAACGATAGTGGAATTTCCACTGTTCGAATACTTTATCAATTCGTCACGTCTGCCTTGATAAAATGGTAAACAATGATTAGTAATCAACGTACACCGTAATTAAAATTTTGACCGTACGATGTGATTTGAGGATCGATTAGGAGTAGAGAGGTATATGTAGTCGCAATTGCTATTCAAACCGTCGCCTTAGGAGAGAACGTTTGAGCTGCAATATAAACGACAGCTTTGATTTTCAGGGAAGAAATCGAAGATTTGGTCTCGGTTCAAGGCAGTTTTGAAGGCCTTGCGCAGGATTGTTTTTTTAGCATTTTTATTAAATACCGTTAGAGATCTATAAATTCTAGTAGTTTATTTTGACATAAAACAGTAAGTGTAGGGGATAATGCTAATGATAATGCGGGTATCACAGAAGATGATATTCGGCATCAGACCAGCAACTCCTAAATCCTTGTACATTCCTCAATCAACAAAGAAAAATTCCTTTTTTCCAGGCGAAGACTTGGAATTGAAATGCGAAATAACCGGCACCCCTACACCCGAATTGACTTGGACAAAAGATGGCGTTCCTATTTCGAACCGTGAGGCGAATACGAATATAAACGTTCGAAATGGAGTCGCTACTCTGAGGGTATCTGGAGTGAAGTCCTCACATGCTGGGGAATATCTTTGTTTGGCGAAAAACGATGCTGGTGACTCGAAATGTAGCAGCAGAGTGACAGTAAAAAGTAAGCTATAAACATAAAATGGATTTTGCAACTTGGCCGAATATGTATGAAATAGCATGGATTAGCATATTATACGTATAGGGGTAATATAATACAAGACGAATACGCGTGCACAAAATGATAAAAAGTTATCCGGTAATATGCCCTGACATAACGGTGGCCAATTGTATCGGGATCACCAATTATTTAGTTCCATGATTTCTTATTATAGCTAAGCAAAAACAAAGCAAGCCAAAGTTCACAAAACCACCAAAAGATGTTCGAATTGCCGAGGGAGAAACTTTGACCCTGGAAGCGGAAGTGAGCGGAATGCCCTCTCCGGAAGTACTCTGGTCACTAGATGGAGAAGAAATTTCGGACGGCGATTGCTTTTATCGTAACAACATCGCAAAGTAGGTGTTAATTCATAACAAACACGTGTAGATATTTCATGTTGTCACCAATCGGCAATTCATATATAGACAATGTTTGTGAAATTATATTTATAATCAAATAATTCAATATATGAAATATTTTATTTAAATAAACATGATTTAATAGCATATAATATTAGTTGGCGTGGAGCTATGTGTGTTAACAGGAAAGGATTCAGGTTTTTCAAGCTTTTCGAACCAAAGTATGCCCATTTTCGACCGATTCTGTCATCTTGAATTCTATCTCGCAATTAATTATAATTACTTCAATTTAATTCAGGAATATTGAGTATTTGAAAAGCGTAAATCAATATTTTGCAGCTAAAACGGCGAATAAAATAATTTTGTTTTTATCAAAAATCCTAAAATGGGTATTTTTTCGAAAGTATTTGTTTTGTTTAATTGAATTTTTTGGACATGCGTATGCGTTCCCCATAAAAATGATTTTTTTCTTTTTTTAGACTTGTATTGCGCAACGTAACAATGGCAAGTAGCGGTCAATATATGTGTACTGCAATAAATGATGCCGGTGAGGATTCAGTAGCTTGCAGAGTTCGGATAAAACGTAAGTAAAAATTTTTGAAAACAAAATATTTGATCCCTGAAGTTATAGATGTTTTCCACCTGGAAATTTAATTGGTAGACATAAGTTCATACATTTATTTTACACGAAGAGCCAGTCACTCAGTCTAGATATAATGAGATCTAGGCTATATCAGTTGGCAAATTAAATATTCAAAGTGAAAAGCCATCAAATCCGTCTTCCTAAATAAAATTGGGGTGAAATGAGACTTGCGTTATAGGTAAAAGTATCTTTTCTCACATATTTAACCATCGGAAACTAGAGGAAAGATTTCCGTGAACAATTATGGAACATGAAACGTGAAAAGTTTGGTGAATTGTCATTGAAATTTCTATATATATAACTTGTTTTTTTATTATCTATTCAACAGAAAAGAGATTAGACGTACCTCCTGAATTCACTGGACCTTTGTCTGATATCAAGACAAAGGAAGGAGAAGATATTTGTTTGAAATGTATGCTGACTGGAACACCCGAGCCCAGGGTGCAATGGTGCCTAAATGAAGAGGTAAATGAAATTGCAAATTAATTTTCCTAGATCATTTTTTTTGGTAGCGGAAAGTTGGGAAAAAAAATCTATACAATCTCGACTAGAATGTGGTCATAGAATTCTTATTCCGCCATTCCCTTTTTTTTCAAATGACTGTTGCCCTGTCTTCGAACTAATAAAATTGCAGCTTTGAGTAAAATCGAAGTACAAACTTGTCTGAGATGGGACTCGAGACAAGAGTACGTCATCATGGATTTTGACTTGAAAATCAGAATAACCCGATTCAATTACATTTGAATATCAAATTTGAAAACATAAAAATACATATTGCACCTCTTATTACAATTTCCTTTTTCACAATCGAGATACAAATTTTTTCTTATCCTAAGTCAAATACTACTTATGAATTTGCGATGCATATTTATACATCATCGGTTTTTATACATTTTTTTCTAACAAAATTAGGTTTTGGAACCAGGAGACGGATTGGAAATGACCCTAAAAGGCGGGGCAGCCATACTTACTCTTGAACAAGTTACTCCCGAAGACTCAGGATGTTATAGCTGTATTGCCACAAACAATGAAGGCCGAGCACAGACTAGCTGTCAAGTTGTTGTTTCAGGTAATTCAAATTTTGTTTATTTTTCCACAACAAGACATCATATCATTTTAAGACAAGTAAGATAAGACGTGAAAATGAATATGTTGCACGTCTATATTTTTCAGTAATCATGACTGTTGAAATATTTATGGTTCATTCATTTTAGTTGTCTAAGAATTCATCAAATTATGTGATATTTTTTTTTTTCATATTTCATAAAGCCTGGTGCTTATATAGAAGATGGTTGTCATTACTTTTAAAATACCAATTATTCAAAGTCTGTGTTGCATGATACACTAAAAGTGTCAAGCGATGCTTCGCTATACTTTCAAATTTCAATTCAATACAAAATACAATGTTTAATATTGTACTATAACTAATATATGTTTATATATACAGAACTACCTGAAAAAGCGCCTCCAATTATTGAAAGAGCGCCTGAGTTCGTTTCAAAATTCGAAGAGTACACGAGAGCAATGGAAGGAGATACGGTGACGTTTGAATGCCAGGTCAGAGGGTCACCGGAACCGGAAATAACGTGGAAAATTGATAGAAAACTTGTTAAAGGAGCACAACAATCATTTGAGGTAAACAAGCAATTACGTTTTGTGTTACTGCGAAAGGTCTAAATTAAGCTAGTAACGAAAAATTGAGACTATTTTGCAAACATTTCTTTCACGAACTGTTTTCTCTTCAGAACGGACGAGCAATATTGACAATAAATTCTGTTACTCCCGATCACGGAGGCAACGTTGTATGCACCGCTAAAAACGCTGCCGGCCAATCTAGTAATGAAGGACGGTTGTATATTAGAGGTGAGAACTCGTTGCAAAAATTTGCCAACCTTTTGATATGTTTTAACAGACAACTGAGCAATATACCGGATTTTGCGTAGCCATAGGGTCTGAAAAGCAATTCAATCTACGCAAAATTGTTATGTATGAAGTGATGTTAGAATATAATTGATATGGAGGCTAAATAGTGCTCCTGATCGGGCATAGCTTACCCTCTTTCTGGCCTTGGCTAATTTCGTATAATTGTCTTACCAACTCGAATTTAAATTCCAATTTATCTCATATTTATTTATTGAAAGCTACAGTCCGATTAAGTTTGTAAGTTTATTTTGTATACAAGTAACCTTTGCGTCGGGCCGAAAATATCTCTCAATTGGTAATGGGTAACGTTTTTGTACTTTTAATAGGTAGAGGTATTTTGAATTTCGCACACCAAAAAGAATAGTCGAATTAATTTTTTATTGCAGCCAAACGAGAGGCACCCAGTTTTCTTACAAAACTACCCGAATCTGTTGAAGTCGATGAAGGACAAGAAGTCACTTTCGGTTGCCAGGTTAAAGGTCATCCTCAACCACGCGTGACGTGGACACGAAATGGTCGATCACTCAGCGTTCTGAACTCGGAGACATCCTATGAAGAAGGTAGACACATAATAACGTTATACGTGACCGCTATTTCGATAATGGTAGCTGACAATCGTAGACTTCAATAACTCTTTTTTAAAATCCAACACAACCTATAATTTCACTGCGGAAATTGTAAGCTTTAAAGAAAATAAACATTTTTCATCTTGTGAATTCTCCAAAATCTATTTTCGCATAGCATAATATAACTTGAACAATGTCGCATTAAATTCATCGGACGTATCCAGTAATAAAGATATTCTGACGGCAAAAACGTCAACAACTCAAACCTATCATCAATTTTGTCATAGGTAAAGCCAGTGTACGTATTCGTAAAGCTGGAAGCAGCGATGGAGGAAAATATGTTTGTACAGCAAGAAATTTGTCTGGAGAATCAGAGTCGGTCTGTGTTGTTACCGTTTGCGCGAAACAGGAAATCAAGAAACCTAATTTTACGAAAAATCTGCAAAACCTAAATTTAGAAGAAGGAGAGGACATTAGGTTTGTGTATTTATGTTTCACAAAAATAGTGGTCAAGCTTCCTATTACAAACAATCTTATTACAATTTTACCTCTCTCTTCAATTGTTTTCAATTGATCTATGTAGTGCATTGGATTAACAATACATCATTTCAGGTTAATGTGCGAAATTGCAAACACGCCTGATCTGCAGATAATATGGATGTTGGATGGTCAAAAATTAGAAGCTGAAGACGGTGATGCTTCTTATAAAGATGGAGTGGCCCGTATGGTATTAGAAGACGCCATGAAGGAAGATTCTGGAGTATATGAATGTATAGCAAAAACGAAAGGCGGGGAAACAAAGACAAGTTGTAAAGTTAATGTAGCAGGTGAGCTTTCATCTAAACTCTCTCATTTTCTTCTCTTTTTTCTTTCTTAAAGATTCTCTCGAAAAGCTTCTTATTCCCAAAATCCCTGATTCTCTCGTTCTTTTTTCCTTTTCTCGTTATCACTTCGCATCTGTACAAAATCTACATTTCTAACCTCGAAATTTGCAATAAAGTATGTTTATTTTAAATCCAAACTGTCTGTTCCCTTTCCTGTAGGGTTCGCTCCATTTTTGATACAAAGGTGCTACGTGGCTAAAATTTATAATATGCTTAATTCCTTTCTGTGTATTCGACCACCATTTTAGTGGCATACATTTAACTATGTATGACGCGACTAAATTTCTACTTTCCGTGCTTGTTTCAATTTAATTGTTTTCTTTTAGCTAAAAAAGTCTCCGAAGAAGGTCCTTCGTTTCCCATCCAATTAGAAGATATGACTATACAAGAAGATCAAGATATATTGTTGAAATGTCAAGTAAAAGGAAATCCACGCCCAACGGTAAGGAAAATTACAGTTTTGAAAATGCAATTTCATTTGTCATTTTGATATTTGTCTAACACAATTGTCCCTTTTTCTTAGATTACTTGGCTTTTGGATGGTGACCCCTTGACAGATGCCGATTGTAAATATGCGGAAGATGGTCACATAGAATTATTTTTACCGGAAGCACTCCCGGAAGACGAAGGAGTTTATACTTGCATCGCTCAAAATAAACTAAAAAGGGTGATGTGCTCTTGCAAAGTAACTGTTAAAGGTATATTGATTTTTGCTCTTAGCTGTAATTGTTTATATTTTGAAATATGAGTGTTTCTTTTTTGTAAAATAAGATTTCTAACTTTTCTGGAGAAACGTTTAATCCATTCTTTTTTTTATTTATTTCCAGAACATCCTAAACCACCAAAACGAAATGTCACACCCAAAGTTGAGCCAAAAGGTTTGGAATATTTGTTTTTGATTTTTTTAGTTTATATTATTTTTTCAAACGTCCACCAATCGTGTAGTTGGTTATAACTGCTGTTTTTAGACAACCCAATTACTTTGAGGAATTTTATTAAATTTCTTCATCTGACAGTAGTTTTGATTGTAGTCAAAATATGAGTGAGTATGTTGAATAAAACAGCATCCATATACTTTACTTAGAGCCCGTCAAATCTCCTGCTTCAAGCAAGAAATCTACACCTACGACAAGCATGACTCATATGAATGGAACCGATGGAACGGCCAAAGTACAAAGCAGTCATCAAGCGCAATCATCGGAAGACGAAACAACGGCTCATGATGGTCCAGATAGACCTCCAACGTTCTTGGAAGATTTGGAAGACAGAATCGTCCCAGATGGTTCGATAAACTACAGGCTAACGGCTCGTGTTGCTGGTAAGTTATCACACATTACATATGGTTAATTGCTGACAATTAACTGATTTCTTATTGCAGTTTCATGTTATTCAGGGCCGTGGAGTCGGGAGAAAATTTCAATCGTTTCCGATTCCCAGCCTCGTACTGAAAAAAATTTGACTCCGACTCCAACTCGGAAAAAATCACAAAATTAACTTTTGATACCAAACACATTGACGTATCTATAGTCCTTTTATATACCGTTAGAAAAGCTTAATAAGCTTGATATCCTTTAATTTCCCAAGAAAAATGTGTCTTTTATTGAAACAAATTATTATTTAATACCACCATTAAAAAATGAAATTTCGGTCATCAGTGAACTAAAATACTCGAACATTGGCCACAACAGGTATACACTTGATGCTTTTTGAATTTCCGAAGAAAAATTTGTCGTTTATTGGAACAAAATATTTCTCAATTCCACCATTAAAATAATGAAATTTCGGCCTTCAGTGAACTAAAATACTCGAGCATTGGCCACAATAGGTATATTTGAGTGAAAAAACTAAACATCATATTTATTGCACTAAAATCGCACAAGGTGTGAATAAAAACCACTAGAAGTTCGATTGAATAACAGTATTCACTGAAAAAGTAATACTGTCACTGTCACCACTACCATTTCTAAGCTCCTGAAAAAGAAACTAATTGAGCTTATTTAATATTTGGTTTATTTTTCTTGGCAGGATGTCCACCTCCTGTTGTTAAGTGGTTCGTTAACGACGAAGAAATTGAGGAATCAGATGATTTTAAATATGAAACAGATGCTGAGACAAGAACCCTCGTTTTTGCTGAAATTTTTCCAGAAGACAGCGGAATTTACTCTTGCGTTGCTAAAAACGCAGCAGGAGAAGCCAACGCGCAAATGAAAATGACCGTTGAAGGTATTTGTTGCTGTTTTGCCACTGTGATTCATCTTTCATCTTGTGAAGTTACACTCATCATTTCTCTCATTTCTCTCACTCACTCATTTTTTCTTGCTGTCCACTTTGACTTCAATTTTTGCCATATTTCCGATTTGGTTCTTATAATAGTTTTGTAATTGGGTTTGGAAAAAATGTACATGCTTTTTTAAATAATTCTAATTCACGCTACAAATTGAAATGAATGCAGCTATTCATAATATTTATATCCGAAAGTTCATTCCGCGGAAAAGGTGAAATGTCAGTTTCCAATGGTATTTCTGAGAGAATGTTCAATGTTGTCGCAAAAATAAATTTCTGACAGACTACTTGATGATAGCCTGTACCTTTATATTCTATATGATTTTACTTTATTAAAACGTCAAGTTGTTCATTTCCTTTGTAGAAATTGACGGAGATCCGCCAAATTTTATGCTGAAACCCAGACCTGTTACAGTAAACGCTGGAGAAACTGCGTTATTAACATGTAAAGTTGACGGAGAGCCTACTCCGACAGTAAAATGGTTATATTGGTAAGTATTTGTCTATCATTCATATATAATTGTATACCTATAAAATAAGCGCTTTGGGAAAAACTTTCAGCAGAGAAATTTTATTGACACACCAGTACAAAACTTTGCCGAACTTATTTTCGGCTAAACCAGTACGAGTTCTATTTCTCACTCAGTTTTGCTGTCATCTGAGAGCAAATTTGTTGTGAGATAGTTTCTCTCTCTCAACAACACGTCTATATTATGTCAGTTTTGCTTTGTACGAATTACAAAATATCGAATACACGTAATGCACCCCTGTTACTATTCTATTGCTTGATTTTAATTGAAATTACATTCATAATTTTATATTTTAGTAATCGCCCAATTACTGGAAACGAGAGACTGAAGATCAGTGCAGCAAATAGCAGCAATAGCTACACGCATTCATTAGAAATTGTTGAAACCAGAATTGAAGACGCTGGCAGATATGCAGCTTGCAGCAGGTAATATCAAATATTATGATATTTTGATTACGTCATCAATGACGTCATGTGAATTGAAGTTATGTTGGTGAAAACCATAATATGTCGTAATGTTTTTTGTTTTTGTTTTTGTTGCCTAGCAACCTCCTTGGTGACGTCACATGCACCGTGTCCTTGATCGTTAATGCAGCTAAAAAACAAGAGGAGAAAAAAGATTTCAGAGGAGTATTGAAGAAATCTACTTCAAAAGGCAAAATGGTTCAAGATTCCCAACCTGAACAGGTGAAATTCAAACTTTCGAATTTGATGGCTCTAAAATTTAATTCATGGCTTAAATGCCTATTTACTTTACTTCCTCGAAACTCTCATTCAGCTTTATCTTGTTTTACATTGAATTATACCAAGCCAGCCATACATGGTTTGATGTAATTTCAATATTTCACGCTAAATGGGTAGGAGGCATAATTGACACTAAACTAAAAACTATGACATATAGGATGAGAGTGACGCATTTGATTAATTTTTAGTAATCATGCTTAATTAATTATGATATATACGTGGCCAATGATAATTATAAAATGACTGGCAAAAGTGATAGCTATGATTCATTCAAATTCGGCGTATTTTGTCGCGAACTCAAAAAGGCCAGAAATTGTTAATGGCAACACGGACTAATGCATATGCAATAGCATAGTAATATCATATTATATGGATGGTTGAATGATATTTACATTTTGGATAAGGACAGCAATTTGTTTTTATCAAATTAAGATTTAAATGTTACATTTGTGAGCAGTGTAGCAGGGGAGAAATATGGGCGTCTTATGGAAGTTTTGTGTAAATTAAAAGCAAAGTTCACAGGAATAGGATTTATTCTACCTTGAATTTTTGAGTTCGTCTTCTGAGTAAATATACAAGGAATAAGGCAAACATATATATTTTAACTGGGTAATAGATTTGAATTCAATATCAATGAAAATAAAATACTAAATTCATCTATTAGGTAGCAGAAGACGCTATGCATCAATATCTGGCCACATTAAATAGATAGTCTGAGAATGGTGTGACCCTTGGTGTCGGAACTTATTTGTTGATTTGTAGAATAGAATGGATAGTTTAACTAGTTACACGCGGTGTCTGTTTGACGCAGTGCCTGAAATTGCTCTGTCTTTATTTGGAGCATATGCAATTGTGAGGATCATACTCAACTGGAAAAATGACAACAATGTGAGAGTTAAATCTTCTTTGATGACTAGTTCCAACCTGATCATTTCCTTTTAAACTTTTAAACTAGTTATGAACGTATTCGTGCAAGCCTTCGGTCGTTCACATGGAACAAAATATGTTCAGCAATTCCCATTTTTTACTGGTAACAACACGAGATGTCACAGTCTGCGTTATGATTTGTCCAATTGACTTCCGTTTCAATATATAACCTATTCTGACTTGTCTATGCTATATACGCTATACAAATCAAAAATACCACTTTCCAATATTATTTTCAAGGTCGATTTTCGGGGAGTTTTGAAGAAAACTGAACAACCTCTCAGCCCGGAACCAACTTCATCTAAAAGAGAAGAAGAACAGCCTGATTTTAGGGAAGTTTTATCTCGACCAGTAAAAACGAAAGTACTTTCTGAAGATGAGCGTAAAAAACTTCGAGCCGAACAGAAAGATTTTCGGTCAAATTTGGTCCGAAAAGTTGGTAAGTCGATAAGTTCGGACTCATTTATATTTCGTTTCCCAATTTATAACATCCATATCACAATGAATAACCATTACAAAATATGGTTATTTTTTTCATTCTGGCAGCATCCTGTTACCATTCTATCCAGACCAGTTTTCCGACCCATGACCCCATAAAACTTCTATATTTTAGAATTGCAAAATTATGCTGCTTCCAATTGATGGCCTCTTTATCTAGCTCTTTTAACAATATTTATACAAACAATTTTAAGTTAAAAGTCACTCGAATTGATTTATAACTAATTCCTCATTGGTCTATCATGACTATTACTCTTTGACGGCTACAGTTTTATATATCGGATTTTGTGTTTACAGAAACCAAGCAAGTGACCAATGACGCAATTAAAGTGAAACAGGCCGAACAGAAAGACTTCAGAGACGAAGCTTTGAAGACGAAAGTTAGAACAAAAGCCTACGAAGAGGACAAAATAAAATCTAAAATGGCGGAACAGAAAGATTTTAGAGGCGAAGCACTCAAAACCAAAGTCGTTACTAAAGCTTACAAAGAAGAAAACACTAAGGTATTTTTATAATGACGTCAGAACATGACGTGAAGACAATGAGTCAAATAGTTCTCTCAATACAAGGCATGCAGCCATGAATAATACCAGCAAAAAATTTGTATAGTTTACTTAGACTTCAACAGTAATTATAATTAGTTAAAGTAGTTTTAATGTGAATTATCTCTGGCCATATGGTTGGCGTATATGTTTTATGTTGATCAAGCTAAATTAACATTGCAATTTATTTACTTTTTTATTATATCATTAAATTATTTTCTATATCGACTATAATCACATCAAATCTTAACTTATGACGTAACAACCGGAAATTCGTGTGCTCTATATTATTTGATAATTATCTTTATTATATCACAATAGCGAGTATGCACTTGTCTATTGCTAAAGCGCGGGTAAAGCATATCCGTATGTTGTAAATAGCAATTTCAAAGATATTACACAATTGTAGATGAAACGAGCGGAACAAGTCGATTTCCGAGAAGTACTTTCTCCTTCGAAGCGTCACACAAGCAAAGATGACCCGGAAGTAGACACGGAAGAAACGAAAAGTTTTGAACTTCCTGCTGCTCCCGCCAAAATGAAAATCAAAATGGACCATACTACCGTGGCAACCAGACGAACAAGAACTAGAGGCGCAGAACCTACGACAAGGAGAACAAAAGCTGAGCGGGAAGAACCGAAAGGAAAAGCACCTGAGTTTTTAAAAGCTCTGAAAAACGTCACGGTTGGTTGGTTTATATTAGTTTTTTCATTTAAACTCGCTCCAAGTGAGGCTCTGACAGAGTAAGTCCAAGAATTGCGAAAATTGCGTTTAGTTATCATACATTTTCATTTTAATAAAGTTGCAAAATGTATCACAGTATTTATGTTTTAATTACACAATATGCATCACTTGCATATTACATTTTTATACTTACACCACTTGTGCCACTCTCAGTTCTGCCTGTTTTTATAATTTTTTTCCAACTAAATTCAAAAAATGATGCAAATCGAAACATTTTTGAAGATTATTTTTCCTGCTACAGAACCATTTTCATAATAAAACATTCACTTTTGGGAAGTGTGTGGTATATTACAATCATTTTTCATTACACTATTTGAACATGGCCACTCCTTTTAATTACCAATTATGTTTGTATTTATTTATTTATGTTTTTTTTTTCAGGTGAATGACTCTGAACCATTTGAATTAGTCTGTCGAGTTATTGGAGATCCAACGCCAAACGTAACTTGGTTTTTAGAAGACGAGGAAATACAAGCTGACAATGACATTTCGATTACCAGGAATGGTATGGGAATTATATCTGTAATAAAATCCCACGCCATCTCTATGAAAAAATACTTCTGAGATCAAAATAAAGACAGAGTTATGTGATTTTTGCATAAATTCTGGAAGGATAATTGATTACTAACAAACAATAATCGAAATAAAAAATGGAGTCAATGTTTATAATCATGCTTGAAATTCTATCTGAGTAAAAATTGTCTAAGCTGCCGCTTATTTTCCAATTGTTACGTCATTGTAGTCTTTTTCCGGATTAGTCCTCGTGAGATTTAACGAAGAAGTTGATGCCAGGATAACCATGCATTCGAGATCAATCGCCAAAGTTTTTGAAGATAGCCATAAAAATATTTTTATGTAACCTTTTCTGTTTATTTAGGGCGCTTGTGTACAAAACATTTTATCAGGTTAAGATTGACTCTGGGTTTACAAAAATATAACTGGTTATGTTCTCTAGACTTACCGCCGAACAATAACTTAATTACTAATCTTAATATTACAGATAATTGATCAGTAAAATATATATTTTTTACATTTATGTTTTCCAAATTCGATAATATATAGCGCCGCTTTCCCCTTGGTCAAATTCTTCCCTCGTTAAAAATAATAGTCGAATCTCTGTCTATTTTCGGGTACTTGTTGTTAACAGTTTATGCAGAACAATTTTCAGTACTCATGTAGTATGTGAACCAAGATGGCGGACACCAGAACGTAGTATGTGTACCAGGTTAGGTTAGGTCATCATTCCAGGTACAAATATTGCGGAAGTCACTTGGTTAGTCCCCGAACTCGTTTAATAGAACTAAAATGAAGTTAATTAGAATGAAATTATGTCCTAACCCTAACCTGGTACACATACTACGTTCTGGTGTCCGCCCAATTTTCTCCTATGTTTGTAGGGTGCTGTTATAAACATGTAAACTTATTTATTTACAGGTGATGAGTGCAAGGTACAAGTCCCTGAAAGCTTCCCAGATGACGATGGAATATATGAATGCCGGGCGGAAAACGAATATGGCGTTGTCAAATGCTCAGCTCGCGTCACCGTGATTTCTGACGGTGAGTTAGAGTGTGGCCAGGACGCCTGAGTGTGTGTCGAATGAACCGGACCGTCATCGTCGTCATCTACGCCTAAACAGAGCGTTGTCTTTGTAGGAAGAACCATTCCGCAGAAGGGACATGCTAACAATTACAAAAATTGAACGAATGAATTAACTTCTCTACCCACATTGCATATAAAAGTTACTGAGGGCTTTTTATGCTCAACAACTGACTCTCTACTGACGTCTCGTGTCATTCCATGCACACCCAGTGCGGCCAATTTCTCTTTAACCTATAACCTAGCCTACACTGTTACTAAAATCAGTATATTAACCGGTATTTTTCTGTGATTTAAAAAATATTAACTCGGTTGGAAACTTGAATAATACCACCGAGCGTATCAGTTATTTATTTCTGGTCCAGATATGATTTGTTGTTGACAAAATTTTATCACGAAATATTACGGAAAAATTCCAGTTAATTTACTGCACTTACTAACAGTGAAATTGTGGCACGCATGCTTACTCTGATAAACTTAATCTGAATGGAACTGATATAACTTTGGACAGTGCTTTTTGAAAAGAGCAGAACGTCGTTACTGAGTATTTGGATATAATATGTATGAACAAAGTGACAATACCAGAGGGGCAGGCATGTCACAGACGTTGCACAGCGGAGTAATAACTCGCCTTTTTGGTTGAAATCAGGAACTAACTGTTTATCTTATCTATATATTTTATCAGTGTTCTTATCAGTATCCGCGGTGTTACAACAGTGGCATTTTAAGTCAACTAAACTTAAACAAAGAACAAAAATGAAATGAAAATGGCCGAGATCGAAATTTTTAACCGCAATAGCTTTTTTATGCTTTCGCAAAAATTTTACCTGCCTTACCAGCATTATTTCATATGAGTGACGTGTGATATTCATATAATTATAAAAATAAGCAATTAAGTTTATTTACCTATCATGGCGAATGAAAAAATTAAAAATTTGGGTTTCATTGGCTAATAGCTTTAGATCACCATCAAAAAAAGTCGTTAATACGTTTTATGTAGATTATTTGGGTGGGTATTTCTCCCGTCGGTACACTGCAATACTGACAAGTTAAAACGAAAATTGTATTACATTAACCATCAGTCTAAATTCAAGCATGTTTACATGAAATATTAGTTTGGGATTTTAAAGCTAAATTATCAGAGAAAAGCTTTTCAAACGACCTTTGGGCAAATCAAGGGGGGAAATGATATGGAATTTTCGTGACGCAAAAAATTACTATAAAATGGGGTGCCTATATTTTTGGTTGCTTTTTTATATTTGACTTGACGGACGTGCCTTTATTCAGCAGTATATGTACGGATTGTTGCAATTATTCTAATTATAAATACTTTACTTCTGGGTGGCTTTTGTATTTTTCCATTATATATATATATAAACATACAATTTAAGTTGAATATGAGTGCTAACGCCAAACGAACCATGTTTGCCATTTTGTATCCAAGTCAATCCGTTGTATGCAGTTATGTTTATCAAGCAAAATCATCGTCATGGTTACTGACCGAATTACTATTAAAAATACCAATAACAATAACCATAATGTCATTTCACTTTTTTTTTAATTGTTATACTCTGTATTGTTTTGTATTATAAGTAATTAAGAAGTATTTAGGTAGTAATTGTGGGTTCGACTGCCCCATTGCCAAGCATGTTTTTGATGTATGTGGAATAATGGCGCGTTTTTCGTAGAATGTAAAAAGCAGTAAGATGATAGGTTACTGTGAAAAGTTGGTAAATTTCACCATTTTTGTATTACTATTTGTGTTAGCTCATTGAGATGCAAAGCTTATGTTGGTAATTCAACGAAGCAACTAACACGCGAAAATATATTATAATTCTGTATAATATTCACAAGAAAACGTCTTGTATTTATGTGCAAAAGCACGACTAACTGAACTGGGACAAGGAGGCAGCAGTAGACATGGTTTATAGAACAACGACGAGGTACGATTCTATATGTCAGATGGATTCAATATGGCGTCGGTGACTTGGAGTAGGCTACTTTCTACTCGGTCATGGATGCTAGGAACCCAGCCAAGGTGACGCAGAACTAAGTAAATTAAGACCTCTTTTATCGTATATGTAAAAATGTAACTTTTTCAACCAGGGCCTGTTCATGCCTTTTATAAGACCTTAAGCACTTAAGTTTTTGGTGCCCTATCACTAAATAAGAGAGCGGTGCTCAAATATATGGACACAAAGGCCAAAACGAAGTAGTACGGGTATGTAATCTGTCCTAGTAGACTACCGGTACCGCGCGGCCTCATGACAGACGCGAACGCGGAACCACCACGACGTGCGCAATTTTCGATAACGTCATCGCGCACAAAAAGAGAAGCAAAAAATACAATCTTCAACCACTATAATAATTTCAAACCAATTGGCCCAGTAGTTAATGTGAAAAGCGATTTTTTTTTACAAGAAAAAAGAGAAAAGAAATACTTACAAAAACAACAACAACATAATAATAATAATCACAAAACGACCCATAAGTACACTTCGCGTCCAAACATAATAATAATGGAACTGGTATTCTATGGTATCTGAAATTGAATAAGTAAGTTTCAATATTCATTACTAATTGAAGGTCAAGTTACGAATAATTTGCATGTTTTTTTGGATGATACATGAACTTTATTTCGACCGGTCTGTGTTGTCTGACCAACTCGAATTGTTTCGCAGTGTTGCCAGATTTCCGAGACCAGTAAGGCAGTGTTGCCAGATTTACAAGACCTTGAAGGAAATATTACCCGATTTTTTTTTTAAATTACTGTGAATGTTAAATAGCATCAAACTGTATAACCCATCGTAATATTAAAGTAAACTTTATATTAAAAACCCTTAGTCTTCTGTAACCCATTGCAAATCGCTCTATAAACAAATAAGAATTCTTTCTAACGTTATTGCCCCAGCATAATGCTCTTGCTTTTCAAATGGGTCACTTATTGTTATTCGCAGGTTATCTCCGAAATGTTTCCCGGAAGCAGATAACAACATCCCAAATAATACGGCTCATCTGGGCTTCCAATGACGCAAAAACTCGTAAAATTAAACGACGGAAGTAATATGCAGCACTTCATGAAATTTTGAATTGCCATTTATATACAGTCATCGTTTTAGTCAACGCATGTAAACACATATGCTTTCTTGGGCATGCGACATGCTATCTATACGTAACCTGCTGGAACTAGCTAACGAGTTTAAAGTAACAAGGACCAGTATCTGGCGATTATGACTAAATGTAAAAAGTTTTATTGGTGTTATAACAGCACAGTAAATAAAAAATGCGTTTGAAGAGTTAAATGAGATTTTCCAACAAAATTTAGAATTTTAATTCACAGTCGATTGGTTGAATCAGAAGTATAGTAATTATAAGATGAAGTGCAATTATATTTTGCATTGTGAAATATAATTCGTCAAAGGTGGCCTAATGAATTCTTGCCCCATTCGGCGCGAAAATCTGAAGCTATCTTGGCAATTAAACCGCATTTTGCAGGCTGCGGCCATGGTCGAAAATTATCTACAATCGAATGTGAAAAATCGAGGCTAGAGCTAGCGGTTATTATTATTATAATTCGAATTGACATTTTCAGCTCTACCGACGTGTTACCTGCTTCAGTGATCGAATGAATATAAACCCGTACCACATATACATACCATATAGACAGGAAGTCGACTACGCTTCCTAGATCCATTGTTAGAGTGCCGTTCATTACGTAGTAAACCTTGCAGTATGGTCAGCATCTTAAATATTGTGATGTACTTATTTGCATGTAATGAGGCAGGTATAATACGCAGTTAATATGGAGGTAGTCTGTGACAGAGGAAGGTGTTTTGAGTATAGCACAAGCAACTTCAAGTTTTCCTTGCTGCTATGTTCTAATTTATATGCATATTTAAAGATGAACGAGTAAAATAACTGGCAGGGGTAATTAATATAAGATTCGCTTTATCTTTATCGTGATGTTCAAATTGATTCAATAACCAAGATCATTACTAGCGAATATGATAGTGTTACAAGGCTCATAATATTAGCTGATATCTTTGCATTATGGGATGGGAAAACACATTTATGTCCCACCAATTTCAAAACTTTGAACAAATAGGTTGTTAATGGACAATGCATGTGCTAAAATTGATTGTTTCACATTTTTGAAATCAGAAGTTTGATAAATTATGTGGTAGTTCGTTGCAATGCAAATTAAAATTGAAACATATTTATTTGATTCTATGCTTTTCGATAGAATTCACGTTTGCAGATTATTCCAAAACACCCAAATGACAGGGACAAGAACTGAAATATTGGAGTAGAAATGTCAACCCTATTCATTTAATGAACTTGTTGGCATATAAGGCAAATCAAATGAAACAATTGGATTTTGAGTTTTAAATTCTCAGAGGACACCATCTTACTTATTATGTTTTGACTAAATAGTGTACTGCAAAAATCCCAAACTTAACCAATCTATACGAGACCACCGAGCCGCGTGTCGAAATTGCTTTTATTATTAATATGTACCATCCTATATAACAAACATAATAAATCAAGTGTGAAAATGCATACAGGGAACTTCATAGTCGTTTGTGATTCGCATTTGTTAGTGTAAACTTTGAGTGTGAGTAATGGTTCACCTCCAATGCTCACTATACAGCATTGTTGATTTGCATTTTTATACGTATGAATTGCAGCGATCTACCGCAGGTACCGCCAATAGCACGCGGAAGAGAAGTGTATGAACGTGCAATATTATATTCTGCATATGTTCACTTTCAGTTAGGCGATGAGTAAGATACTACAGTGATTAAACTATTAAGCGTTACTTTAAAATGATGTTGTCCGTGGCCTATGAGGCAAAGTGCCTGCTATTGCTTACTTGGATTTGAGGATTAGATTTCATAATTGCAAAATAAACTAAAATGATGGGTGCCAATCTTTTCGAAAAGTTATCACTGAGCGAAAAAACTGCCATTATGGCGGTTTTATCGCGCGATCGACATTTGCGAGAGACTGAAGAGGAGAGAGTAACGAAACTGCGAATCGATCTTGCCCGTGAACGTCGAGAAGGGGCGTTGATCCCCGGACGAGATGCAACACCGAAGAAAAGAGTTTGTGCGCGCTGCAAGGGAGAAGTCAGCTTCATTGGCGTGGAAAGGTGCCCAGCCTGTAAGCATGTCGTCTGCAAAAAGTGCCGCGTTTATAACCTGGCGGCCGTTTCAAATTCACCGTTGGTTTCTGAAAGAGACCCAAAGGCGACAGAAGGCGATACTAACGTTACTATTGCTGAAAAAGATCAGGGATTGACGGCGGTAGTTCGAAGCGCTTCCTCGGCTAGTTATCCTTCAGATTTAAATCCATTCGAACCAAATCATAAAAGAGAAAACAATGCTAGTAACGGCTATGGTAATCCATTCGAAGAAAACCAAACTAGAGAAAATGACTCCGCCAACGGATATGGTAATCCATTCAACAACAGGACTTTAAACGCTGAAGATGAAGAAGAACACCTACCCACGATAGAATGTGAGGTCATTGATGACGTACCATTAAAATATGACGAAAATTTGGGAAAATCCCTAGTTGGAGGAGATATTGGTAACATTCCTCTAGTATCAAGCGTAAGTGTGCCAAATGGAGACTGCCACGAAGTATATACACACGATTCTGGTTTCAGAAGATTTTCTGATATAACTTATATGCGTAAAAAACGAAGAGACTTTAGAGAAAAAGCGATGTTCAATTATAGAAATAACGGTTCTAATTTTTCCAACTTTAATGTGGGCAATCACGGCCTACTGACTTCCACTCCGCGTCGAGATTATAGCCAGTTGCCAACTATAAACGTATCTGATGACCAATATGCATTTTCTGATTCAAGTGCGTATATGACTGCTAATGTTTCTTCTCCTTCGCACAAAGCCGAACTTGGAGGTTTATCAAAAAAATCTAATTCCACGGGATATCTCACGGCGCTGGGCGATTTCAATGAAAAGGAAGCTATCGATTTCCTACTACAAATTGGAACTACCCCAAACATCAAATCAGAAAAATCTCCAACGAAAAATATAGTACAAGATATTGACGTTATAAAAAAGACGTTGCAAAATCACAAATCCCTAGTTCGTGATGAAACTATATATTTGTCAGAATCAAATTCTACGTTGCATAATAAAGAGGAGTATCGGCACACTACTCCAATGTTTGAAGATACTTTGCAGGATAGTTCAATTTCGAAAAAAGACGAAACCGAAACCGACACAATAGAAAATAAACCGAATTTGCGAGTGGATAAACAGACAAAATTCTCATCTATAATGTCGTCGACGTTTTCTGTTTTTGAAAATATGGCAAAAGATTTGAAAATTGCCTCTAATAAAATAACAAACGAAACGCCACAGAAGAAAGCATTTTCTGGGGCATTCACTACCTCAACTCCAAAACCAAAAACGGTGGATGTGGTGTCAAAGTTCAAGGATCTTTTTACACTAAATACCCCGTTGCCAGAAAGGCCGTTAAATAAACCCGACATTACAAAAAAATACGGAAGTGCGGCAAAATTGTTTCAAATGGCTCAGAATAGGTCTGTTCCAAAAGAAGACGAAATGCTAAAACAGGACATATCGCTTTATACTTTGAATAGCCCAGTAAATATAACCCCTGTAAAACGTGCGATGTCGATTGAAACACAAGAAATGGCAATAAGAGACGAATCCGACAGAGGAGGCTACCTTAACCCTCGCCTGCACCATTCAAACCCCACCTCTCCGTATCGCAGAAAAGATCTTATGTATTCTACCAGCACTGACGACGTTACAGGGTTCATTTCTGAGTTTAGTGGGGCAACGGATGAAGATCTTCATCGTCCAAAAGAGTCATCATCTTCTAATGCACCGTCGACGTCAAGTTCCGAGGAATATTTTTATTATCACGCGTCGAGGCGAAGAAATCGTTACGCAAAGTCAATTAACAACGAAAAACAATTAAATGTGCATAGTAGAAAGGACAGTGGGTATTCCACACATGAAAATTATTTGAAAGCAAAGCGAAGGAGTAAATATATGAGAGCAACTCGTTTATCACGTAGGGCCCGGGAGAGAGAACGTAGCTTACGCAGACTAGGTAAAAGGTCAATAAGAGAACGTCTTTACAACGAAGCAAAAAGGCGCCATTCGTCATCTGGCGATTTGAGTGAAAGCGAAAATGGGAATTTTCTACAAAGGGTCAGAAGTACTACTTTACCGAGTTATTCAGATCCTCCAATTTTACTAGACGCTAAATCGACTGCCACTGTTACGCCAAATGTACAGAGCGATAGTAATATAATAGATCTTGACAGGTCTGAATCAAAAAAGGACAAAAGTGTAAATGTACCGGACCTAAGTCAACATACCTCGCTTAATAGACCACGAAAAGTTTCAAACGCAAAGCTTTTATTTGAGAAATTGAAAAGGAAAGTAAATCCCACGTCAAGAGATCGTAATCGTGAATGGCTATGTAAAGTTTGTGAAAAAACAATCGACGTTAAAAAGAAATCCGGGGACTGGTTTTACGTCAACACTCGACCAGAAGTTTTACATTTCAAAGAACATTTGATCACTTCAAAACGGAAACTGTCAGGCGATATACCTGCTGTACCTTTACGTATTATAGAAAGACTTCCATTACAGCCGTCACCTTTGGCAGTAGATTCAGTGCCGGTAGCTTCAAAAATTGCTAAGGAGTTGTCTTCGTCCTCCCTTGCACCTCCAGCAATTAGCCGAGCGAGGTCTAGTACCTTGCCTTGTGAGTTTGATTGTATTGATGCCAGATTTTCTGGTAGAGACAGGTCACCTTCTTCGGCGTCTTTGGCAGGACGGAATTCTGTAGATATGTCTCAAATGGAAGCGCATTTGCAGAGACAGAGAATGAGAATGGGAAGAAAGTCAATTGCTGAAGTCTTACACGGAACTTTGTTGTTTCATGTTCCAGGTGTTTTAACGATGTTATTTGGTCTCACCAAACAATTTTATATTGTTATTTGTTGTGGATAGCCATTTTAAGTTACAGATATTAGCCTATATTTTCTTTCTATCTCATCAACATTTTTAGATACATCTATTGAGAGCCCAATATCAGAACTATATCAAGTATATATGTAAATTTGATGGTGTATTAGGAGAGCCTTTATAAAGTTCCTTGCTGAAACCTTATTTTTTTCGCAAATGACGTCTATCACTATATCGAATGGACATTCGCGAATTAGTTCGCTTCTTCTGTTATCTGTCCACATTTTTTAAAGTTCAATCTTAAAATTTCTCTGCTCGTATCGACGTGAAAGCAAAATAAATATTGTTCTATATTTCTTGTTATAAATGTTTAATCCATCTACATTCAGACCCCCATACTGGCGGATCTGCTCCTCAATTTGTCAAGAAACAAACTTCAGTTACAGAGATCGTACCTGCTTGTATAAAAGACGGTCCGAAGGACACAGTCATTATACGTGGACATCCTGTCAGTCTGGTCTGTGCGTTAGGCGGAACACCACCACTAAAGTCTGTATGGCGAAAGGGTAAAAATGAAGTGAGTTAAAAGTCAAAAATGGTTATTATCACATTTGACAGTCTTGCCCTGTTTATAGGAAGATCACAAGCATGGTGATTGCTCTTTAAACCGGCCTTTGAAAATCTATTATTTAAATCCTAATTTTATGCTGAAAAGTTTTTTGGACTCGAATGATTACATTCAAGAATATTTTGTAGACATTTTTATCCATCTTAAAACATTATAATCGAACTGTTTTTCGAGAAAAAAAAACTATAACAGATAATAAATAGATTTCTATCAATAAAATCGACTTCTGTACCTGTTTTTTTTTTTATAATAACCAGGAAATGCAACTTGATTGGCATATTTTTAACTATGTTTTATATTCAGATCAAATCAAGCAGTCAATGTAGTATTGACATTACAAATACAAGTGCAGCTTTGACTATACGTAGCGGAGAAAAAGACGATTCGGGGTGCTACACTCTTCAAGTCAAAAACTCAGCAGGAGTAGACCAGTTTTCGGTCAATGTGTCTATAGTGGGTAAGAAAGAAATCGGTAACATTTAAAACCGGATATTCCTAGTTTAAGCCCCATTAGATGATGCATTGATAAATGAATGGCGATATCTTATCTAAATTTTACTTTTTTGTTTGGATCGGAGGCGAATATTTTGTAATATTTATTCCAGGAAAATGCGTTTTGATAATGTTAAATGGGATTAATGTGTGTACTTTCGTATTACTATCTATAACGCGTGGTTGTGTTGGGAAATTTCAGCTGGAATATTTTATAAAAATACCTGATCATGCCCAAGAAACGCTCCATTGAGAGTTGAAACTGAAATTGTACAAATTAGTAACAACATGAATAATTGAGAATATTGAAAGTTGAAACGTCATGACTCGCTCTCCTTAGTCGCATTTTCCATTGTTACATTCTATGAGTTAAATTTCGCGCTCTCATCTAACAGTGCTATTGTTGTACATACTTAATATACAAATATTAGATTTACTAGCGAGATTGTCCTCTTTTTTTTATTTCCAGTTCAATGCCGATATGTGAAATAATAAATTATGTAAAAAAATAGTTTTTAAATATAATTCCATTGTTATCAATGCTACTCTCGAAACGATATCTGCCAATAATTTTTATTAATCAAATAGTTTTACTATACTTATACGTATAACTATTGAGAGATAGTAACTTAACCTAACGTGCCCACTCACTTGAGAAAGTGAGATAAATGAGGAATATGTGAGTGAATTATATATTTTACCGTCAAGTATAGAGTTTTTATTATTTGCAATTAGTCAATTGCTTGTCTCTTATATGATTTGGTCCAACTGATTTGAGTGTATCGGAAAAAGGTTGAAGGCTATTTCCATCGCCACCCCAGTAGCAATAAATATCGGTATGTATACACAGATGTTCCCGATCCACCTGGGAAACCATATGCAAGTGACATCAGTGGTACATCTTTGGTTTTGTCATGGTATGGAACTGGTTATGATGGCGGTAGCACAATCACGTCGTACCAAGTCGAAATAGCAGAGGTGCGTATGTATTTATATCCACAGTGTATTTGTCTTATTCTCATATCTTTACAAATTCTAAAAAACTATTTTTGATTTTTTCAGATCATCTCTGCGTCCAGTGTATCTCGCAAATGGTCACGTGTTGCATCAACAAAAAGTACATCTTGTACTGTGAAAGATTTGAAACCAAATTCAAAATATACCTTCAGGTAATCGCGAATCTAAATATCTACTAATAGTGAATGATTGATATTTAAGACTAAAGTTTAGACAAAAGAAAATTCTTCGTCTTATTTCAAAGTCAGATCACAATTATAGATTAGTATTATTTGATCATCAACCTATATGCTCATAAATTCGAAAAATTTTCAATATAGGATATGTGCGGAAAACAAATATGGAGTTAGTCGCCCTGGCGAAGAATCAGATGACGTCATCAACACTGTTACAGAAGTGGTAGAATCATCTGAAGGTATGCTTGATTTAATTTGCTTCAATTCAATTGTGGGCCATTAAAAAAAACACACCCAAATTTAAATTTTTTATCTCAATTCACATTCTCAACTGATTACGTTTTGTTTTTAAGTTACCTCATTAGCCTAATGGAGTTTTTTTTTATAAAATAATTTGAAGTGTTGTACTATGTTTGACCCTATATTAACAGCAAAATTCACGAGTGAGCATCTTAATAATTACGTATGATATAAAATATATAATTCTATAAGACAAGAGCGAATAGAGGACAGCTGAGATAATCAAGAGGCGATAATGTCGCCTTTTCGTGTTCCTTCGCGAAACGTTAACAGGCGTTGGAAATTGATTTTATGATACGAAAATTCTGACAGGGAACACTGCCTCAAAAAGGCAGCTAACGAGGGGTGAAATAAACCAGAACCGTGCTAATGATATGGAATTAGACAAATGTCAAAATCTAGACGAAGTACTCTGTAGAATGCGACAGTGTAGACGTAGGTTATGTGTGTCTACCGAGTCTTGAATTTGACCTTGAAATAGTAAACAAGGTCGTTTGTGCTTAGCATCGCCGTATTGTCATCTAAGGATGTTTATTTTCGAATAACTTAGTATTCTAGACTTCTATGGTTCTATTAATTTCAATTCTGAATAGATCTATTTGAATGTGATATCGCAAATTTTACAGAAAAGAGTAATTGAGGGAATATCGAATTTTTTTGCGAGTTTTTCCGAAGCAGACTCTGGTTTTAACTTAAAATAAAGTACTGTTAGAAAAGTTGAAAGCGATCAGTGATGCGCTCTAATACATGTATGTTTTTACCTTGTTATATTGATCTATGAAATAGGACAAATTTACCGATTTTAGATACCTTTATGGAGAAAAACCCAATTTGATTTACCCTGAATAAGATATATTAATTTCGTGTGAAAAATGTTTCTGTAAAATTGGAATGTGCAATTAATTCTCTGTCGTTTGCATCCGGCATTAACGATTTTAAGGCGTGCAATAAATTTATTCTTCTAATAGAAAAACATCCAAAAAATCTATAATTAATCCAAAATTGAATGTTTTTTTTTCTAAAAGGTCGGGAAAGGTTTCCAAATTACATACTTGTAATTGCTATGTACTGTGTTTCAATATCAATCGAAAATGCTGATAATTTGACACCAGACTGAATTTAATTGAGGTAACGGGAAGAAAAACTGTAAATTACAAACAGAAGTATGTGCAGATGTTTACATAAAATTATATGATAGTGAAATAGTATATGTGAGAGTGGATAAAATTAAAAAGTCAGTTTTCAGTATTATGGTTTCTACATGAGTGGTGTTCTGAGTAAGATTAAAAAGGGGATAACAAATACTGTGTTATATTAGTGTAGTGTTAGAACGCACTCCATTTTGATAAGGGTATTGCTTTAGCGTACTAAATACAGCGTTGTGACAGTCTATAGTTTCTTGTTATTTGACGCACAGATATAAATTAGCATTAAATGGGGTGCTCCTGAAGTATGCGCACCTAGATGTCGCATAACCTGAACCCTAACCTGGTACACAACCTGAGTTCAGGTTGTGCGCCATCTTGATGCGCATACTTCATGAGGTCCTTAAATAGATTTGAGATGTTTTTATTGTCCGTAAATGCATTACAGCTTATAATATATAATCTACATTGTACATTGAAAAACAATTGTATTCTGTAATTTGAAATTTTCAAAACTTCTCTATGTGTTATATGGTCCATAAGACCTGAACACAACTTCGTGAGAAGTTTTTTCCTGTTTCTGTTGTTGGCGATGAGATCAATTTCACGTTTTTGAGTTTGTTTTGCATCCTTTACACAAGATGACAGTTGATAGCATGTTGGGCGGTTGTTCTGGTAAGACCCCAAATATGATATAGAAAGATATAGAGCAAAAATATTTGTACGGTATTATAATCAAAGCACTAGATGTTTGTGGCATATATAGTTCAAGATATTTGTGAAAGAAATTAAATTATTGTGGAGTTTGAAATTTGAAAGATTGTCCGCTTTGAATATAAATCGAAATTCCAATATGATGGAGCACACCAACACAAGAAATGTTGCATACGTTGTAAAAAATTAGAATATCCTTCGAATAAAATTTCCAACCAGGCAAATTTAGGGTGTTTCAAGGACAGTGTTCAGTTTTCAGCTGGGCTATACAGCGATAAAACAAAAAAATTTTGTGAATCATTTGATTGGAAGACATTATATTTTCAATTTGACCATCAAATAAGAAATAACCAAATTGTAAGTTCGGTCGTCGATTCCAATCTCAAAAAGAAATTCTGTTTCGAGATATAGGAATTCATCGATAAAACTTGTGTTATTTTGTGTATTTTCATAAATCCTATATTTATGTTCAATTTATTCAGATGAAGATGAACACTTCGAAGCTCATGGCATTGTTGTCGTCAAAGCGAACGAAAATTTTTCACATAAATATGAAACAAAGGAAAGACTTGGACAGTAAGTTTATTTTAAAATAATACAAAATTATCACTTTTATGCATAATCATGACAGGCTACTGGTAATAAGAAAGTACAAGTTTATTGGTAGAGGTTATACTTCACACAACGATAAAGCATGTATTTTTGTGTAGCTACTGTGATAGAAAGACGCACTTCAACAGCTCATACTGCTAAGCACAGCTGAAGGGCTTACTTGAATACAAAAAAAGTTGGAACCTCAAAGTTCTTCGAAATGCTACAAACTGGACCAGTAGCGTGACTAAATTTTCCATCGAATACTCCAAATGTCAAACTTTCTATTTCTTAGGGGTCGCTTCGGCAAAGTTCATCGAGTTGTACATCGAGAGACTGGGAAGCAATATGCTGCTAAAATCATGCGAGCACTGAAAGCGAAGGACAAAGAGGCAGTCCAGCAGGAAATTGACGTCATGAATAGTTTACGTCATCCAAGACTTGTGCAGTTAATAGACGCGTACAGTCACGGTAGAGAAATAACCATGGTCATGGATCTGTGAGTAAATTATTATTTTAAGGATTTTCAAACTTCAGTCTTATTTCGTTGGTCATGCTAATCCTTTGTACGGTCAACTACTAGACTATAAATTATACTTATGCCTTGAGTAATATGTAGCAAATACTTACTTCTCAATATAAATATGTAAAAGAAAATTTTAATCCCGGTTCGTTTCCATGCCAAGCTTTCTGTAATGGATGTTTCACTCGTACAAAATTTTAATGTTTGTATGTATTGAAAGCGTCTTAGCGATTTAAAGCTCGGTAACGGGTATACTTCCTCAAAAGCACAATTTTGTTTCAATACATTCAAGCCTCTGTCGTGATAAAGTACTGTCGGCTAATTTAAGTCTGGTTTAATTCATTTTTATGGGGCCGTTTTTTAGTCGCTACAAATAAATTAAAATCTTCAGAAGACAAAGTAATTACTGTATTTTTTCAATTTCTACTTAAACACGACATATCACTTAAAAATTGGAAAATGCCTGTCAAAACGACGAAAACGAGTCAATGTTTACAACCATGCTTGAAAATCCGCCCAGTTAAAGAGCGACTGTGCGACTACCAATATTTCGATTGTTTGCGTACCGTTAAGATATTATTGATTGACCATGGTCACGGATATAAACAGGAAGTCGATGCTTAAATAAAAATCCAGGGATTGCGATTATGTGTATCTTAGATTTGATTGGTTTTGTTTGTTTTCCAGGGTCTCTGGCGGAGAATTATTTGAGCGCGTCATCGACGAAGATTTTGAATTAACAGAAGCTGCTTGTATAAAATACATGACTCAAATATGCGAAGGACTTAAATATATGCATGATACCCTCGTAAGTTATTTTGACATGATATGAAATTTTAGTGAAGTAAAACGTAATTTTGGTGTAATTCAAGTTTTTATTTTCCAATTCTAATGTTTTTATATTTGGTTATTTATTCCAGATTCTTCATCTTGATTTGAAGCCGGAAAATATAATGTGCATTAACAAAACAGGAACTCAAGTCAAAATCATCGATTTTGGTCTTGCAAGAAAATATAATCCAAAAGAAGTTATACGGGTTTGTATAAAATTACTAACAAAAGTTTTTTATGGTTCTTCAATTAGCTCCAAAGTTGCCTATAAGGTAATTTTTAATATTGAAAAAAATTTAAAAATCGATTTTTATCAAAAGTAATTTCAATAACAGAAACTCTTAACTTTACCATTGTTATACAGGTTGGTCAAAGATTCAAACTATTGCGACATGAGTGCGATATACCCCTTCAAATTTTGTGTTTTACAAGTTGTTAAAAGGGATGCCCATTAGCAGTTATAGTCAGTTTATTCATTCTGAACTCTGCATTTTAGGTGATGTTTGGAACTCCTGAGTTTGTTGCACCTGAGGTTATCAATTATGATGCCATCGGACCTCAAACTGACATGTGGAGCGTTGGAGTCATATGCTACATTTTGTAAGTAAAATTGAACTTTGGAATGTATATGTGGGTTCCAGTGAGATTTAATTTTTTTTTAAATCTAGAAAAAATGCGAAATGCGTGTCCATCCATTCTCTGTGAGACAAAATAAAACAAAAAAGTATCTATAAAAATTGAATATAACGCTCAAATATATATGTACACCAACCGTTGGTTGTATCGGTATCGTATGCGACTAATAGTCAGAACAGTTAGCTTATCATTCCAAAGTTTCGAATCAAAGTTGCAGATCAAGTCCCACCGCCATAGCACTTCACATTCGTACCGGTACCGTAACCGAAGCATCAGTTTTGTTGAAAAGATGTCGGACTTTTCTAGTGTCACAACTACGTGATGGCGCAATATTCGCAGAAATGCAAATCACGAGCTTCATAATAACTCGTAGGAAATTTGAAAAGAAATAGTCTAGTAGTGCATTCAACCATCGTTAAGTACTGTATTAAAATTTAAAATCGCTTGGTTTAAAAATTTCGGTTAAGAGCGAACAACAAATATCACCTTAAGAGATGCGATTTAAATTTTAATGGTTTCTTTAATAAAGGATTTAAACCAAATTAAATCTTTTTTGGAGTATTGCTCTTCAAAAATCTTTTTTTGAAGTTTCATCATGGTTAACTCTCATCAAATGGTGATTTTATTTTCAATATTCCAGGTTATCTGGTCTCTCGCCATTCATGGGTGACAACGATTCAGAAACTCTCTCAAACATCACCGCCGCTGAGTGGGATTTTGAAGATGAGGCTTTTGATGATATATCATACGAAGCCAAAGATTTTATTCGCAAATTGCTCGTTAAAAGACTAAAGTAAGTCCCAATATTTAGATGCAATTTGAAGCTTGATGTTCTTGAAAATTATTGGAATTTCTCGAATGTTATGCTATTAACCAACTATTTTAACATATTAATTGTATGTACAGAAATTATCATCGCACGATTACACAAGTTCGTGAGATGCTTAAGTTGTCTTATACAGAATTCATGCCAATGTTCTCAGGCACTACATTTATTTTCCCTTTGTGCTTATAGCCAAAGATACACAGTCGACAAAGCACTTGAACACAAATGGCTGAAAAAAGACATAAACAAAATGCAGAAGAGCAAACTCAACACAAAGAATCTTAAACGATTCCTTGCAAGAAGAAAATGGCAGGTATGACAAGTAATCAATATGGTAAATATCTCACTCTATATCTGTACATAAGAGCATCTCTATTTTGTTGCCTTTTGCCTTCTGTGGCAGAATACCAACTTACTGCTTTTCTGTATACCTTACTTTGCTATATCTCTGTGCCGATGTTCGTCCGAAGTTTTTATTTCTGTTTAGAAAACTGGTAATGCCGTCCGAGCTTTAGGTCGACTCGCATCTCTCGCTAACCTGGGATCACAAAACTCCAATGCAAATAAAATATCCAACGGACAACCGAGAGAATCTGGATTTTTAGCGGCACTCAAAGCCCAACTTTTGCGGGAGAATGAAGAGGAACAGGTTGGGAATTCACCCATTTCTTCTTACTTTACTGATCGGGGCCAATATTTATTGCGACCAGTTATTTGTGACTCCATTTTTCAGGATTTTCACGAAAACTGCAAGCCGATGTTCGATACATTATTCGATGATGTTGAGGTAATTGAAGGTTCTGCAGCAAAATTCGAATGCACAATTATAGGAACTCCGGACCCTGAAATAATGTGGTATAAAGACGGAGAACCGATTAAAGAATCGCGGCATTTCAGGTAAGTAAACAGGAAATACAAAATACAGTCAATTTTTGAGGGATGCCCCAAGATCCTTCTGTCACCCTGGATGTCTGCCCGACCCTTCAACACTGATCATTTTGTTTCTTTAAGTTTTTTTTTGTTTTCTTGAGTGGGTACTTACAAACTGGATTACATGTTTCATATTCGTCATTATGTGTCAATACATTTCAAACCCTGTCATTTAAAGATACTATTGAATTGTTAAATCTATATATAAAATTCGGAAACACAACTTATAATTGCATATAACAAGCAAACCCACGAGGACCACTTTGTCTGAAAAATATTCAAAGTAAAAAGTATCTGAGCAAATGCTAGAATTTCAATTGCGATGCCACCTTTGACATCTTACTGATTAGTCAATGTTACGGATATAAATAGGGAAGTCAGTACATGGGGAAACATCCAATGAGTATCGTATATATCAGGGATGGCGAACCACCGACCCGCGGGTCACAAAGTGACCCACCGCGTTTTATTTGTGACCCGCCAAGCGAAGGCACGAATAAAATGCTAATATATCAGTGATAAAAATTGATAAAACCGGCCTCAAATTAATCTAACAATACCTAAACTATTATGATGTACCGTCAGTTGGACAGTCAGGGAGGGATGCGATCGCTCATATTCAAAATGTTTCGGGCCGGTACGGTAATTTTTGAAACCCCTAATCTTGTACGCATGTGTGCACCGCTGTGTACTGTTATTCAGCTATTGGGCCTGACATCGTTTATGACATAACAATGCAACTGATCTGTTCATTTCTCGCAACGCCTGTCTGTTTTGGAATTTGCCACTGCAGACTGTTTTAGGGGTTATACGAGAACTAGATGCTACTTTGCATTTAATTAGTTTCTCGCCTACAATGCCGTTGTGAAAACAAAATCTTTCAGACTTGAAATAAAAATCTAGAAATCTGATATTACAATGGGGCAGTGTAAAAGTACCTTAATGTGGTTGGAAGCGGATCCAAAATTTTAACACTATCAAATCGGAATTACCTCCAAACACTAGAACCGTAAAATAATTTAACGCATCATCCTAAACGTTTTTGGTAATTCATATGCGTTTTTTTCGTACTCTAATATCATAAAACCGAGGGTCATAAAAAGTCCCTGATAGAAGTTCTGCATAAGTAAAGCCCAAAACTACACCAACACCAGCTTATAAGATTTGTTTCTGAAGTTTCTTATAGATATAAACGTGAATTAAATACCTGGGACCCACTCTCTTCTGTTCCGCGATAAAATCATAATTTTTGACCCATTCATTGAAAAAGGTTCGCCATCCCTGGTATATATTATAACAATAATTAAATTGATGCAGGATTTCGTACACCGAAGATGACGTTTGTACTCTCCTCATAACGGACACTACCGAAGCGGATGAAGCCGAATACTCATGCAAGGCTGTCAATTGCGAAGGAGAGACCGAACACAGAGCCGAATTGATTGTCATTACGCCAGGTATGTAGTCACGTGTCCGATGACGTGAACTCAAGCACCATTGTGATCCTGGACAAGTGAACAGTTTCTCTTGCATTGTGACAAACGTTAATATACACTATAATTTTACACGGTATATTGATCAAACATTTAATATTGAGTCCAATCAAATATGGCGTATAAAATATGAAATACATTAGGCCTTGTACCTGGATGAAAATAGAAATTATTCGAACTTGAATATTTGGGATTGAATTTGGTTGCCAGATTTTGGCTTGTCGCCATACGAAATAAAAATTGCTGGAAGGGCGCCTCTATAAATTGTTATGTACCACTAAAGTTCATTTCTGGCAACAATCTATTTTCACGACTGGAATGCACGTTTTTGCACTGTTTATGTGATACCGTAGGAATTTTTAATGCTTGTATATTTTGACTGCATGCATATAATAAAACCAAAAAACTGAGATAATCGAAACAGATTTTAGATTATTACAAATACACATTGATTCAAATACACATACACATGGCCATAACACCATTTTAGCGCTTATTTTAAGAGCATTTTTGCAACTAAACAAAACCAACAAATATCACTTGAAAGTGTGAGAACGAGACATTATTTTGAACCACGATCGAAAATGTTTGTGAGTAAAATAGTGTCTGAGCGGCTGCTTAAATATCAATTGTTACGTCAGGAAGTCGCTGCTCGGGGAAACATCCATTGATCATTATTGATTTAAAGTTCAAAATCTCCAATATTTGTCTTCCAGACTGTCATAAAAGTCAATTACCTCATAATTGCACAATGTCTAAATCTAAATTCGTATTCAATAACTCCCACAATAACAACTACACAGGACACCATCCACCCTCAATCCAGACATTACAACATATTATTCTTCCTATGGGATTACCCATAAATTCCACTGAATTTGCGACCATGAATAAAAGATATGATATCAAAGGGTACAAGTATATATTTTCATTGAAAAAATCATTTAAGTGTACTTAAAAAGTTTTTTTTGCCCTGTACTCTAAATATCGCCGATGCTCTTAGCCACATTCATTCCGCTTCTTTTCTTTTAATTTTTAGTTATAATTTCGTTTATTTTTTGCAGTAGAAAATTATTGTATTTATGTGATTTTAGTAGTTTTGTCATTCTTTGTTTATTATTCATTTCAAGTGCCTTTTACTTTAATCGCCCCAAATTTTGAAATGTTGCAAAAATGGGAAATTGGCTGAAACTCAATCGAAATAGTGTAATAAATCCAGATAGACACATTTGATATCTCGAATTTTAACGAATTTTTAAAAAATTAAATTGTAAGATAACAAACATATTCAGCATTGATTTGCTTCGCTCAGCTCTTTAAAACGATAATTGACATGTTCACTTCTATATAGCCACAATGCTTCACATTAATTCTGCATTTTGCACGCTTGATTGCTCTATTATGCTACTTCAAAAACGCTACTTTTTAACCACTGAGTATATTGTACCGACTGTGTGTTTGGTGTGTGATTAGGCAAGTTTTTTTCTTATGGATAAGGTGTTATTATAAACGATAAAATATAGCCCGTACGACATAAGCAGTTATTGGTGTTTTCTAGTTCAATATGAAAAGAATTTATGTAAAAATGCAAATTTTTACGCAGTGTCGCTTGGATCATATTTTTGTAATAAGTATGGTACAACTCACAATTCATTAAAAATCACTTAAGCACAAAATCAAGCTATTTTCTTATTATGGTAGTAGGTTATATCTAGTGGATGGGAATAGTATTGATACAAATCTAACCTTGAACAACGTATTAGTATGATCGTTTTATTTCAAGCAATACTGCCTGTCACTATGTTTCGCGTTACAATATTTTCTCAAGAATTTAGTTTTGTGATAAAAAAAATTGTTATTCGATACTTTATGCCCTTCAATATTTTATGGAATGAATATTTCTTTATGAATTTAAAAATTTCGAAAGAATTGTGACGTTAAATTAAAAATTTCTATCACAATATGGTCCGCAACAATACGTTAATGCGATAAAAAAAAATAATGAATTCAAAGCTAAATGCTTGATCCAACAAAACCATTCTTTGAACAGCTCGCTATTATGTTTTTTTTTATCATTGCACCAATCTTTGTATTATTATTGACTTGATTTATTATTATTATATGTATGTGTCCGATTTACTGTACCATTTTAATGATATTGAAATATAAACGATTTGCGACTGACTATCATAAATACAAAGCATGGAATTTGAACTGCATGCATGCTAGGTTAAAAAGATAGAGTTTGCACAGTGAAATGGTCTATTTTAGTGAAATAAATTCAGCATTCGTTCGAAAAAATTATGTAATCAGGAAGGTCTACCTGTACTTAGTTCTCTACTTCTTCTTTAACCAGTTTTCATAGACACTGTTTGCTACTGTTACTGTGCCGAACTATCCTCAATTTGTGTCAATCGTTCAGTAATTCAACCAACATATTCAAACGAAAAAGGTAACGCAAAACAAAACATTTCAGTCATCATTTCTTTAACCGCTGATTACCAATGTCTATGAATCCCAGGGGTCATTTAAAATCAGGTAATCAGTAAAGCCGTAGTACAGCACAAAATATGAAAATAGCAGGATGCTCATTATCGCGCTAACAACGGCGTACATCTACTTAAATGTTGATTGTCTTATTTTCTTGATATTTTCAGTCTCAAATGATTCATCAGATTCTTTGAACTCAATTTCATCTTCGTCACGCTCGACATCTCTCTCTTATTCTTATGTCTATCCTCCAGTCTTCTGGGCTCAACCTGGCGGATCAGTTGCCTTTCTTTTTGAGTCGCTAGTCAATAGTTTCGATAAGAAAGGAAATTCTAGTGTCGTCATCGACGACGCTACTCAACCAAAATGGTTTAGGATTACCAAAGGCTCCAAGCTAGAGGGTGACTCCATAAGGGAAGAAATACTGGCAACATGTAGTAACAGAATTCACATTCGACATAATCAAGTCAAAAATGGGTTTCCCGAGACAACCAGTGTTTTGGTTATATGCAATGTTTCCGCCCAGGATGAAGGGAGTTATGAATGCGTAGACAGAAATGGGACTACTACAATCAAGTACACGCTTCGGATTTTGAAAGGTACGTGAAGCAACAAGAGATTTTAAATATATGTGAATATATATATATAAATGAAGTGGCCACATATAGCATGAGGTAGTGGTTCCTAAACTTTTTTCCGCTATCCCAAATTTTGTTAAATATCAAATTTGATGTTTGCGACCCCACATTCAGAAAAGCACACGACTTTCAAAAATCTATTCATTTATCTCAATCAATGCGAACAATGCAGCTGTATATTTTCTGTGATTTTTGCAATCTTGCTATTTCGTAAGAAGCAATAGCAGAAGCATAGACAGCGGATTTAATCACTGTAGTAAATACTTTCATGACCTTCGCCTGCGCTGATAGCGCTTAAAATTTACGTTGAAAATATTCTGACGCAACCTGAATGGTTTGACGCGATGGGGCATATTCTTTTTCACTGATTCCTTGGAAAGAAACACGTTTCGGTTCATGATAAACTTAAGCGAAGCCAAATTTTAAACGTTTCATCATAAGTTTGTTTTCTGGAAATTTTAGACGTTATTTTAAGTATTTGTGATATCAGTTCAATTTTATTTGGAATAATTAGAAAAGCATGTAGCCTAACTGCAAACTTTAGAAAAGTAGCAAGCCTGCCAGTAAGCCCAGGAATATAACACATCTAGGCAAATATATAGTCAGAAGTTTACGATTATTCACAATTATCAATTCTACTTACATCATTCTAAGATTGTAGAGGCTAACAGGTGTCACTGCGTCTCCCTGATTCAAAGTTTTATCCAGACTCATATCAAATCTTGACCGCGAATATGGTATGATTAAACGAAACTTACTTCTAAACCACAATAACTCGGAAATATAATTCATGATAGGTAAACAAAGAAAGGAAATGGATGTGCGAATGAGCCTAACTTTAAAGTCATAAATATATCCAATTTCTGACAGATTTTTCCCCCTAAATCTCATTCTAGCTAGAAATTTAACGATATCATTTTTTGCAGAAACCGATTCGATACCAATGAAAAGCCGTCGCTACCGATACTCAAATATTATGTAACATTCATCACTATGTGTGCAATGTTTTTGAGTAGACGTAATAAAATATTTGTTTAGATCTATCGGTACATTTCTAGCTAGCATGAGATTTGGGACAAAATTCTGCCAGTAGTTAGATATATGACTTTAAAATTAGGCTCATTCGTATATATATACAGTGACTTGGCGGGCCTTATTTCAACTATAGAAGAGCATATATCCAGACATACCAGAACACGTGAATGCACAACGTCAAATTCGTATTTGTGATTCAAATTATTAATAGATGTGTCACTAGACTAAATTGCATTTTACTACGTAATTAAAGTATTTTGAATGTACGTACGCAAAGATGCTCACAGCACTTCCAATTATAAACAAATATATATATATCAAACATTTCGCATCATCATCAGCAAAAATTTCATTATCGCTACATATTTCAAATCTTACGGACTTGTGTCCGCCATATTTCACGTTTAGTGGAAGTCAGGCGACCCCGATGAATCTTCACTAATAGTTTGGGTACTACTGGCATAAGGTGACGATATAATGATAATGAAAATATCTAGCGGATTCCGAACGTATGCATCCGCACGAATTGTAAAGTTTCGTGCGGGTGCTGGAATTTAAAACATAAATATATGAAAACACCTCATGAAAATCGTTGAGTATTTAAATTTCTTCGCATCGGGCTTCTCGATACGGAATAGTAGAACCACATTAAGGTCGAGAGCGGATTAGAAGTTGACTTTTTTCAGATGTCTTAACTCCGAACTAATTTTCACAACCCTTTCTCAGATTCGATGTTGCATAAAAAGTCGAAAGGTTTATCACCGCAATTTGTGAAGAAGCCACAAGGCCAGTCAGTTCCAGAGAGAGTGAATGCCGTTCTTCAGTGTTCAGTACTGGGAAATCCAGCTCCTATCATTCAATGGTATCAGTATGGAACAAGGGTGTTTCCTGGAACTCGTTACAGGTGGTTAAATATTTTAATATAGAAACTATATAAATATTGGAAGCAATGTATTCGCATTTTGCATATTATATATCTTTTATGCCTGTTCTGCCTGTTTCATGCTACATTACTTGAGCGTTCGACTTATCAAGCCATAATCGTTATTTTATTAACGTAACAAGTCGTACGATCGTATCGACATGATGCTGTCTGTTTGTAATGATATCATATTTTGTAGTTTTGCAGAGGAAGGAAACAACGCCTCTCTTACAATATTGGATACACATTGGTATGACAGGTAAGGACATTTCACCTAAATACGACTTGTTTCATAAGAATATAATTTTGAAACTGTTTGAATAACACTACCCAAGTACCCATAACCTAATATTTGCCGAGTGTTATTAGCCTTTCAATAATATCTTAATTGACGCTATTAGCTACAAATCGCCTCGGATTGACGAAAATATGTTAGGCAAAACCAGAAGGTAATATCTGGTGCTACCACCTAACTAAGATATGGAGTTTTATTGTGTGATTTATCGTGCGGGTTACACCAGAAATATTGGAAAAAACCCTCCCAAATAGACCATACAACAATTGTTGCTTTAACTTTATTGCAGTATCGCAGTAGGAATAGACATCAGGGAGTCAGTTTCTTTTGGCAGTTACACACAATTTATTCTATTTTAGGACTATCACCCAAATATTAGCTAAATAAATAAAAATAAACATAAAAATATAACTTACAACTAACAAAATTCCTGAGCTCAACGACAGACGTGCGCTTACTAAAAACTCAGAAACGAGAAAGCACATGGGGAAGATTCAGAAATGCCAGATTATCGGTCGGCATAGACAGCCAAGTTGGTTCACTTGAATCATATTTGGGATTCTGGTGTTTATAAAGCAAGAAAATAATACCAGCAACCAGCAAATAATAACTGGATCAAATTTTGGATAAGAATTCAGTTTGCTGACCAAATACGAATCTGCTGCGCAATAAAATTTATTGATTTTCGTAAGACTGGCAATACTACTAAAAACAGATATTGCGAAAGAGTGGAAGACTTCTCCAGAACACAAACTCTTGTCCATAAATAAATTGAGGGAACATTTCTTACAAAACGCGGTGTAAACCTCCTTGAAGTAATTGCCGAAGCGCGATATCTAATCACAAATTCTAATCATATATATATACACTTTGCTTCTCAGCGCCAAGTACGAATGCCGAGCAATCAATACTTTGGGAGAGACGTCCTGTCATGTAGATTTGTATGTTGAACCCCCAGAGCACCAATCAGTTGAATTCGATGGTTCGCCAATGTTTCTCACTAGAACCGAGTCTGCTGAATTTATGATCGGGGACACCGTAGTGTTCAAGTGTACAGTTGCGGGAATTCCAACACCAAAAGTAAGTATATATGCTCTGAGAAAAACATAAAAATAAATATTTGTATTTGCGATACCACAATCATAAAAAGTGTTTTACATATTGTAATGTTCTCTATGAAGCTTTATATGTTACTTAGTTCCCATCTAAAGGCTACTACGAAGTTCTTAGCTCGAAGAGAAATATTGTTTTTACCGAATTCATGACGGACTAATGTCTTAGTGAAAGAACCGATTCGAACTCATAATGATGTTTTAAACAATATTTATGTTTCCTTGTTTTCCATCCAAAACACACCTATAAGTAGTCTAACCTCCCACCCTCTCCCCTGAAAGCTCCGGCTCGGAATTTAGCACAGTACTTTTTTCAGACTTCAGTCTTTTCTGACTTTTATCAATCTTTGTTGAACTAGATTTTTTATCCGCAAATTTATATAAATACTAATTTCATATAAACTTAGTTTCGTATTTCACTAGATACACTGGAAAAAAGATGGCCGCATGATATATGCAAATTCAAAGCGCCAAATGAACTTAGGCCAGGGAGGAAAACACGATTTAATCATCGTTAAAACAGGCTCCTCTGATGAAGGAAAATACGAATGCGTTGCTGAAAATGAGCGAGGAGTTGCACACTGTGTATCTTTCTTAAAAATGAACGGTATGTGAATAATTGATTTTCTAAATTCACGTAACTATGTCAGTGACGCAAATTTGTACACTTGGACACCTTATACAAGGCTAATTCATAAACCAAAAAATTCAATGCCAATTTTTTATACAAAAATCTGAAATAAATAAATAAAAAATCAATCGATAGACCAGGCAAATCATATTTTTGTTAGAAAGATGTTGATAGAATAATTTCTGACCAAAAGTCTCAGATAAAACACTATGCCAGATATAATCTCCGATGAAATGACTCAATCCTAATGCAACTTTTATCATTATGTATACTATTATGTCAGTGTCAGTGATAGATTGTGTTCAGTGCTTTTACCATATTTATAGTTAGTTCCACATGCTGAACATGCTGATATTACAAGGTATTATTTTCTTTTTATTAATTTAAATCATTTTATTAACATAACAGGAGAATCTACAATCAGAAAACCGTTAACATTTCATGAAAATTCTGAGAAACATTCTGGAGAGACAAAATTGAACCAAGTCGCCCCCGCTTTCATTACCCGGCCTCATCGTGCGATAGTCAGATCTGGATTGCAAGCTATTTTTCGATGTACGGTGCTTGGTCAACCTGAACCCACTGTGTCATGGTTTCGGAATGGAATCCAAATTGCAACCAATATGCATTTCAAGGTGATTTTTATTATAAAATTCGTCTTTTATCATATGGAGTAATGTACTTTATATAATATTTCTGAATAACAATATTGGACTATGCGGTTCTAAAGACAAACGATGAATTGTTATTGAAATTTTTGGAAAGAGTTCCTCTCAAAAGTTCTTTATATATTCATAATTTATTTGGTAGCAGGGCTAGTAGAATATTCCGGTCAGAACGAACTATTCAAAACTTTACGCCTATAGTTTTTGGAATATGCCAGTTTGCTTGATCTGTTCTGTGGAGCGTATGATACATATTGTTCACGACCAATGGTCTTCAATGTGCATACCACTCTTTGCATTGTGTATGTGTTTTTTTGCCATTTAGCTGATTGGAGTATTTGGCTGTACTAAGAAACTTAAGATACAGTTATAAATTAGTTTGAGTTTCTTATGATCATCCGGACACGGGACTTATAAGGGGGTACGCAAGCTCGCAATTTATAAATAATCATCAGACTTCCCCACCAGGTGGAGTGACAAAGATGGGCTAATCATAAGCCTGTACCGGATTAAATTGAATTATTCAAAGACTTTGTGACTGAAAAACAAATTGATATTATTCATAAGAAAGAAACACTAAATCTAATGTTAATTTTTTATTTTTCAGGTTGAAGATATATTTGGACATCACTGTCTTCGTATTTGTTCGACTAAATTGTCAGATCAAGGAACTTACATGTGCACTGCTACCAATCCTATAGGTGCGTCCCAAAAGTCGATTTTATATCTATACATTAATTATAACCCTTACTTTTGAGTTTTGTTAAATTAATGCAAGGAATCATTTTTTGGGGGTTTTGACTGGATTTTTTAATTTTGTGTGTTTTCGAGCAATGGTATAATAAGATAATATCAAATTGGCATTAAAAAAGTCGAAGCGTCAATTTACACCAACATGCCTATTATTGTGTGATGACATGTTTTCTGATGTTGTGAAAATAGCTTTTCTCGCGCTTAGGATAATACATCTATTTTTAATTTTTTTTTCAAGTATTGTAAGGCTTCGTATTTCACTCCAAATAGTGCTATTTTTGAGTGCATTTTGGAATTCTGTCAGGCTCGTCCGTCATATTTTCGGCAAACTGCCGTGTGTATATATTTTGGCATTGTTTTCTTATTTCCATCATCAACATATTGAAAAATGATATTTTGTTGAATTACATTATAATATTCAACTTCAAGGTGAGGTGTCCTGTAGTACTCAACTCGAGGTAAAAGCAAGAGAAAACTGCGTTCCTCCGAGTATTCAATTTTCATCTGGTGCTACGCATCAAGATGAACAAATCCATACAGCACGGGGATCAGTTGTTCAGCGCAACATTGAGAAACCCCCGAAGGAAGTTTGGGTTCATGCTGGGAAGACGATCAAACTTTCACTCATGGTTAGAGGAACACCAAAGCCAGAAGTAACCTGGAATAAAGAAGGAAAACGAATATGCAGTGGAAATAGGTGTGATATGTAGTGTTTTTGTAGTAGGAAAGTAAACGGTTCTCATAACAATTATTATTCAAGTAAACGGTGCTCATAATAATTATCTGTTTTGCAATATTTGTACATTACCACAGAAAACTAGTTTTCGAGTTTCTCATACTAAAGCGTCATTGCAGCTTTGAATTATCTGTTATTGTCTGTTTGTAAAAATAATTCATAATTCATGCTAGTATACTAACGAATATTTTTAAGCTACTGCGCAAGGTTAAATGTTTCATATTACAATTCAGATATGTAGTTTCGTCAGAAAACGATAAATACATATTAAAAATAGTTCGTGTTAACAAGACTGACGAAGGATCTTATTCAGTTGTGGCCTATAACTCAGCTGGAATCACCATATCAAACTTAATCGTACATGTTCGAGGTAGGTTGTATGTTGAACAAAGTGTATAAAATATACAATTGTGCACTTTTTGAAATGAGCATTGACAATGCATCAATTTTAATAGATAAAGTACCAGAACAGTTCGGGTTAATCATTGCTGTAAATCAAAATCAGATTTCAATCCAGTTTCTCCAGATTGTTTTGAATGAATCTGATGTCTTAAAAATGTCGTGTTTTACTTGTATCATAATTGTTCTCTTTTTGCACGCTTATCCTTGTTATGCAACACTTGTCCACTTGTTACATACTTGCTTGACATGTCCCACACGCGTCTTTCTTGTACCACTTCTATCACTGTTCTTGGGGTTATGATTGATAAAATTATTACTATGACGTGAGATTCATAATTTTGGTCAAGTGGGACAGGTACGACACGGTATTTTGAGACAGTAGTTACTAACTAGCCGTTACGTTATAAATATAGATGATTGTTGAATTTCTCGCCCTTTTGATTTGAACTAAATTTAATTTAGCCAAACCTGTCGTTCCGGTATTCCAAACTCCACCCGATAGTTCAATTACACTCCACAAGTGTGCTGATGCAAAAATAAGATGTGTTTTGGAAGAAACTGCCAGAGAATCATCTGCAAAATGGTCAAAAGATAATAATGTGATAGTTGACCAAAGTACGGAAAAATATGAAATGAACAATGAAGGGTGAGAAATTTATAATGTCTTATGAAAAGTTGCTTCAAGCAGGACTGAAAGGAGTAAAAGCGACTAATATAAACATAATGTTTCAGTAAATTTCTTATTTTTGATAGTTTTCATGATGTATCTTATTTCCCGACTTTTTTTTTAATAATTGAAAAATCCAATTCTAATTATGCCATTCCATTATATACATAAATAATGTAGGGGATTTTAATATTCTCCGGAACAGGGCCCTACGCCAGTTACCACTTACGTAGGGATGTACCATATTTTTTCCATTCCTTATATAGCTTTTCATATTTATTACGATCCGGTAAAGGCTGTGGGCCAACCCCGAGATCCGTGTTGCCACGTTTATCATTGGAAACCATGGACCATGTATAGATTTGTTAATATCTTGTGGTTGTTGGGTTCTTGTGGAGAACAAGTCGATTTTCTGCGCAACCAACGGATCAACAGATTTCAAAATTTTCAGTACTTAAATTTAAAATACTATTGCTTTATTTTTTTTTCAATTTTTGTTTGAGTCTTATGGTACCTGATATGTCAAACAAAATTGTATGGTTTTAATTTGAGCATTGCTCGTTTGTTTCGAATACTATGCCATTTTAGAGGCGCCCACTAATGGTTTTTACGTACGTGGAAATATGAAATTGAGTCACTACTTGCTATGCCTCAATAAATTATAATCAATTGAATATTGTTTCATTATTGTTCTATATTTGTATATAAGTTCGTTGCGAGAGCTGGTGATCAAAAATGTTACTTTGGAAGATTCCGGGCAATACTCATGTACAGTTAAAGATCAGACAGTAACAAGCACTCTCAAAATCTGTGATGAAAGTAGCGATGATGACGTCAGCTCAAGTAAGTTACGTCAGAAATACATTTTGTTTTTGCCATTTTAAGCGCGAGTTGTAAAATAAATCCTGTAGGAATATAATTTTATTATGTTGATCAAAATGAGGAAGAAGTGGCAATGCAAAAAGATCGGATTCAAACGAGATATAATGTGGCTGGAATTTGACTAAATCACCTTTTCCTCTAACAAACATCGATTTAGCAAAATATCTTTGCAAGCAAGAAAGTATGTGCCCAGATGTTGCTGTTGACCACGTTGAAAAGTACGAGAACTCTTTTTTTGGAAGTACTTTTAAAATTTACGAAAAAGTAAACGAGAAATTAACGTTTGAGAATCCTTGATAATAACACCGTTAGTTAGGTGACCAATTTTGCCACAGATACTAATTCAAATTACTTGGAGGGACAAAAATTGCAATTGACATACGCCGATACTAATATTAACTATTTTAAGTGTATCGAATCGTGTTTTAAACATTTTTTTAATCTTAGATGGGCAAAGTTCAGCTGATCAACACGATTCAGTGCCCAACAATTCAGATAATCTCATTGGCGGCGTTGTTGAGATTACCCCGGTCGAAACCGATGAAACGGACAGCGTTGTTGTACCTGCAAAGGAATTGACAACATCAGCACAGATTATCACCAATCCGCTTCCAACGTACATGAAAGTACCTGAAACGGGTACCTTGGTCATTCAGCACAGTGTTGATAAGATGGATGAATCATTCACCTGGGAACTGAATGGCACGAAACTAGAATGCATGGATCGATGTACAGTAAGTGTGAAGACTTCGAAAAAAAGTACCAGAATAATTAGAAGGGAGAAGTGTAATAACTCTGTTTCTGTAAATTTAGATTTCAAATAACGAAAACAAGTATTGTCTTGAAATGAGACAAATCGAACCAGAGGATGCCGGAGAAGTCACTTTCAAACTTGAAAACGGTTCTCTATGCACAACAACATTAGAGGTTGAAGGTCAGATTTTCAGTGATGAATATGATTGTTTGCACTTTCTGAAAATCTTTTGTCTACTATTAGCATAACGTGACTATCAGCTGGAGCCACGCGACGTTATCCTTCCTCTACCTTTTTTGTTAAATTCTTCTCTTCGCTTATTCGGAACTCTTTATTACTCACTGACTTTGCATAAAAACTACTACAATATTAGTGATACAACAGCAAATACAAAGCAAAATTCCTCTTTAAGAACGACAAAATTCTTACCCGGGAGAAATTTCTTCCCGCTTGGGATAAGTGGCTCTATGTCATTGCGATGGCAATGCAACGATGATATATATATCAAAAATAAAGTTGAATGTTCTAAAATTCTTTGCTGAAGAGTCTTACCTCGGTCAGATAAAAAGTGTAGCACTACAATCACGACCATAAGCATAGGAATTGTCGCTGTCTCTTCAAGCAGTTTTATTTGGACCTCAAAGACAGACCTCATTGGGCTCTATTAATCATTAGTTTCTTAGATATAAAATAAAATCCAGCAATCTAATCATAATTATGGATGAAGTTTAGTAGTTTAATCATTTCAAAAATATTTGCAATGTAATAAATGTGTAAGTACGAGAATCTCATTACTTTATGTCACAGCTCTCCCGACACCACCTGCAACACTTAGATTATCTCAGTTGGATGGTCAGCGAGTTAGACTTTCCTGGGCTGAATCTACAACTAATTCGACCTCACAAATATGTGACGTCACAAAGTACGTTATCGAAAAGAAAACTTTGAAAGAGGACGCATGGCAGAAGGTATGCTTGATAATGTGAAAGAATGATTTTTGCCTCTAACTTCAGAAAATTGATCTACTTCCAACATCGTTAATGCTTACTTTGAAAGTATTTTCGCGAGTTGGCGCCTGTATAGTTAAAGTCATCGTTTTGTCTTAAAAGGTTCAAGCCGCTTTCAATAAAAAGGACTGGCGTCTACTTTAAAAACTTTGTCTGATCTGCAATAGTATTTTGAGTATTTAGCTCTCATTTTCCTCACACATTCTGGTTCATAAAAATTGTTGATCAACTTTTTCTTTGCATTGTAATTTAATTTCTATTTGTGCTATTGCACTGACAAACCAAAAAACGAGATTTTTACAATTAAACTATTGCAGGTGTCTGAGGTATCTTCCACTGTGAATTCTTATACAATTCCAAAACTTCTTGCTGAAGAGACATACATATTTCGAGTGCGATCCAAAAACAATGTTGGCATCAGCAAAAAAGCAACAGAATCGGAAAAATACTTTGTTGGTATGTAAAACTGGATCACCATAGCAGCCCTTCAAAGCTTTTGGGCATTTACTATTTAGCACAGCATCAAATAAGCTGCACACGGAACTCGCCGTCTCATTCAACTCCGATGCCTATTTCTCTCCTTTTCAGTTTCCATCTACTTTTTTTCTTTTACATTCTCGCTTCCTCTCTCTCTCTCTCAATTCTCTTGACTCTTTTTTCCTTACTTTTATTCTCTCGCACAACTTCAACGTTGCAGCACCACAGATCTTCCTTTTGCATGGGTTGGAAAATAAGGAAATTGATGAAGGAGAAACAGCTCAATTTACTGTCCAACTCAATAGGGCGGATGTACAGGCTGAATGGTTTCTCAACGGTGTAAAACTCGTAACCAGGTAATCATTTCTTCATTTATTACAGTAAAATGAATCTTTAGACTTGATTTTATTACTTATCGATCTTAAGATCGGTAAGTATATTGATAGGTATTTGTCTGTATATATGTATGTCTGTGTGTGTGTCTGTTAGATGAACGCGATATCTCGCGAACGCGTGGTTGAATCTGCTCCAAATGTGCATGTGCATGTGCATGCATCTTACCTCGGACCAGAAGCCTATAGATTTTGGGTTAATTATGTCGTATGATTAGCGAGTTATTAACTAATTACCGATCTAAGATCGATAAGTCTTCGGTCTTCGACCGATATTCTCGTTTTACTACTCTGTGACTTTACTACTTCCTGAAATAGTGTTTTTAAACTTTTTCTCACATTCATTTTTACGACTGAAAAATCAAGAAGAAACCATTACAAACGATACATATGGTATATTTCGACATGTGCACATCGTCAAAAGCTTCGAATGATTAAATTTTCTGCTTTATTTCAAGGGGAGAATCTTGTCAAATACACTCAACAGGAAAATCTCACTCATTGATTATGAGAAACTTATCTGCGACCGGGAGCGCGAGAGTAGAATTCAGTACTGTTGACAAAAAGATTACCACCGTATCAAATCTTATCATTAAAGGTAAGTAAAAGCAAATAAAATACTTTTAAATTCTCATCGTTTCATGATTTATTTTGACGAATTTAGGCCAATAGACACTGTTTACAATTTGCAGGAAAACCAGTCACAGTACGAAATGGACTGCAAGATGCCACGATGGTAGAAAATGCAGATGTAACTTTTACAGTTGCACTTTCTCGAAACGTGAGAACCTTGGGGCAATGGCGATACAAGGTAATTGCTATATTGGACCTTTACAAAAAGCTTACTGTAGTTACGTCTCGAAGGTTTCGACAATCCCCCTGAAAAATGTTCATACTGGTTTTATAATTTGTTTATAATAAAAAATTCTATACTAAGTCATTCAAGAGTCTTGCTGCACACTAACACAAATATATTTCTGTAACGTTTCGTCTGCCAAGGTCAGACTTCTTCAGAACTATGTATGTCTGAAGTAGTCTGACCTCGGTCAGACAAACAGAAATATATTTGTGTTAGTGTGCAGCAAGACTCTTGAATCACTTAGGATAGTTATCTTTACTCTTGCTACAGCATCCTTGCATTATATGCATACGGATCCGCCGGCACCAAAGCATAGAAGAAGGATAAGTAGTTAATCTCGCAGAAACCAAAAATTCTATAAATATGATTTTCTTCAGGGAAAACTTCTTCGAAACAATCATGATATTGTGATAGAAAAGAAAGCTGAATATCAAACATTAACAATGAAAAATGTGAAAGGCACTGGTGCTGGAACTGTTGAATTTTGTCTACCTGGTCAGTTTGGTTGTTGTAATATTGTACATATTTCATAATCCCCATTAATTTCTGCTTATTGTGATAATAATACCACCCTGGCAAAAAGGATCATAAAAACTGTAGCCATTCAAGAATTGGTATAAGATTATTGCCATCGTAATGTTCTGGATACCTAACTCATTTGTTTCTTTGAATCTTCCGAAGGGCCCTATCTGGCAAATTGTGTGGTGCTCTTCAAGGACTTATATATAGATGTTATATATAGATAACTACATAATATTTTTGCAATAATTACCCGTAAATGCATTTTGATATTAATTTGCCCTTCAATATCACAGATGAAGCAGGAGCAAAATCGAGCGCTGAACTGTATGTTAAAAGTTGGTTCGACACAGAACCGTTTCAAAAGATCGTGGAAAACCCTCCAGAAACAATGTCTGCCACACCAGGAGAAGACGTTGAAATAGGTTTAAAAATTTCCAGTTCATCAAAATGTCGACCAAAATGGATTCATAATGGCCAAATCATTCCCCCAAAAAGCAAAAAGTAAGTTGAGTACAGTTATTCAGTCCGTGTAATATTTTTTAGGAGTACTTTGTTCCAATTTGATTTAAAAAAATAAGCTTTATGAGAAGTTGATGTTTTGGTTTACGACCATAGACGCCTTCATTCAGTTTTGAAAAAACTATAAAAATAGATAAACCGCTATTCAACTGAACTTGTCTGCATTTCCGAATTCAAACACATTGAATATATATTGACTTGTATTTTATCTCCGTTGAAAATTACCCACCTTAGAACATATTCAATATTCCACATTTTAAAGTGTTGGATGACAAGCTAAACAATCATGGCATGTATTTTATCAAATCTAGCCACTGCCCAATATAGCGCACTTACCTAGGTGAACCATTTTGTTTTCAAGATATGTGATAAAGCAAGAAGACGATTTGTTAAAACTTATTATCAAGGATGTTGAAATAAACGACTCCGGTATAATAGAATGTACGGTAGATAAAGATCAATGTCAAACGAAAATAATTGTCGAAGAACAAGCACAGATAGAGGTGAATAATGTAATTCTTAGTCCGATTTAGTTCATTTATTTCCTGACATGAATGAGCTAAATTTCATTTGTTTCAATAATATCAATCCTACAATGCTTTTGTTGGTACGTGCTGTGGCTTTTTTAGACAATATAGTTTTGCCATGAAGGAACACTATATCTTTTCTCTTATATTGATAAGACAAATATAAATGCAACAACCTGATGGGGTTGTCTTTGAGAATCTAGATTGAGCATCAAAAATTACATGTTGCTTACCTTTATTGCTTTAACACAGTGGTTCCAAAAATAATCGTTGCAACGCACTAGTACCTCGCGAGATAATTTGAAGCGTGTAGCAAAATGTCAATATATCATTTTACCGCATATATAATTTGTCACAAACAGATAAAAATCTAGATTGAGCATCAAAAATTGCGTGTTGCTTACCTTTATTGCTTTAACACAGTGGTTCCCAAAATAATCGTTGCAACGCACTAGTACCTCGCGAGATAATTTGAAGCGTGTAGCAAAATGTCAATATATCATTTTACCGCATATATAATTTGTCACAAACAGTTAAAAATCTAAATATTTACGATGATAGAGAAGTATGTGCACAAAGAAAGTTCACGTATGGAAATTAGTGTTCAAAGTGAATGGCTTCCTAATACTTATAAATACTATGTAAGACATAACTCTTATATGTGCATACAATTCTTAAAATTAAAAATAAATTGCAAAACGTATAATAATAGTTTTATGCAATATTAATAAATTTTACATTGATATAACATGTTCGTTATTAATTGAATTTCAAGCAAATACCGGAGCCGGAAGCAAATCTTTCAAAATTTTTGAATAAATCAAAGGAAGGAAAAGCGGTCCTGGTAAATTTAAATGAAGGACAAGAAGCGGGTGAAATAAGATGCAAAGTACAAAATGCTGAAACAGAGGTGGTTTGGATGAAAGACGGAAAACCGATTGATTTTATCAATGAAAATATTCAGGTTCAAAATAATTATCTACAAAAGTAATAATATAGTAAATTATTCTTGGTATTCTGTTTTTTGGCATATCAATAAATCGGAATGAATTTCTTCCAAATATTCTTTATTGTTCTATCAATGTCTGGACTTACGCATCACATTGATAGGTATATATTTCATAGAGGCTTGTTTAATGTACCCTTTGCAAGCCTTTGTAAGAGATTACACAGTAACTTACATGTACAGTTGTAAGCAGAGGTTTGGCTCTTACTTTGGCCACACTCGATGCTTTAAATGCTCTGTGTACCTTTTATCTCAAAAACTGATCGACATCGAGTTCGTTCATTCTCACTGTGCGTGTGGTGTGTTCCGGCAATTCGTTATATATGTTTTGCGGAAGACCATTCTACTCTATATCGCCCTACAAAGGTACGACCCATAGTTTTTCGATAGGGAACTTCTTGTTTATCTGATTCTCTCATGTTTGAGATTACCCGACTACTTTGCGATTTTCGCAAGCAACTCTTAACGTCGCACCCTTGTTAGTTTATTCATGTGCAGGTTTACCTAACTAATATAATATGGACGCCTTGTGGGAAAATGTCTTCGTAGCTATATTTCAAGTAGACTGTTTTTATTTCCAGGAGATTATCGAAGGAAAGGAACGTATTCTGCGTTTTTCTAACATCGAGCTTTCAACATCTGGAAAATACCAATGCTGCATCAAGTCCGACATTAACGATTGTATTGAATATGACATTTTCATCAAAGGTAGTAAACAATGAAAATCCAACCCCTGCTTATTCACGCATCGATATAATCACCAAAATGAATAAATAGGAGTTGATACTCTGGTGGGAATAATTGCGCTGCGCAGCCTTTCCTTGTTAACATTGCAAGCTATGAATCAATCTTTACATTTAGCCCAATTGTCAAATTAGCTCCATCGCCCATTTTAGGAGGCGTAAATTAGGCAAATTTTTTACATGAGTAAAACTCATCCAAACTCCAGTATTGTCGTACGTCATATTTTTTCATCCTTCCATCCTGCTTAGTGAATGTGCACTTCATTGCAGTATTTCATGATTTCATGGTAATACAAGTCATTTGTTTTCACTTTATTGTAATTTAGCGTTTTATTATAAGATTTAAACAAGAGGTAAAATCCAATGATTTTCTGAAAATTCATGAATATTTAACGTTTGATTAGTTTTTCCTCGATAAACTAACTTATTTTCAACTTACTAAGCCTCAACAAACTGTTTTATTTGTTCGGCCAAGTTCAGACATCATTTGGTCCATAAGCAGACCAGACTTGGTTGTAAAACTGAAATATTTTTTTTAACTTACTATTAGAGCGGCATCAGGTGATATCCACAAAGTTGCCATCTATGATGGAAGTTGTGCTCTACCAAGATTTAAAACTTAGGGTTACGTTGGAGGACTCGAATTCTAAAGTCAAATGGTTGAAAAATGGAAAGTTGATTCTGACTAGCAGTAGCCATAATAAGAATAAAGGTAATGACAAAATTAATGTTTAAAGAAGCTTGTATGGTACAAAGAATAATTTTTTAAAATATACTTTAATTTAATTCATAATAATGAATGCATTGCAATAATAGAATTATTATAAATTTTCGAGTCGGTATTCGAAAAGCTTACTCAATCTCATTCAGAGGAATATTTAATTGCAAATTATTTGTAAACCTCAACGTAATTAAACCCTAGCAAAAATTTATTTGAGTGAGTCTCGAAGAAGTCAACACATAAGGTAAACAAGTAATACTTACATAATCCTAGAGTTTTAAAAATATTACTTATATATTCAATTGTTATGAAACGATGACGGGTTTTTATTAAACAAGAATAGAGTGTAGTTTGCAAAAAATACGCGAATAGAAGATTTTGTTCAAATTCACTTTGTGTTGTGCAAGGTGCAACGATATCTCAGCGCATAAAAGAAGAAGTGGATGGCGATGACCCGAACCAGAGGATTCTAGCAATCAATCATGTGACTAAGGAAGACGCTGGAAAATACACATGTGAAACAAAACACGATTCTACCACCGTTGAAATAATCGTGGAAGGTGAAGGAAATGTTAAAATACATTCATTCGTATTTTGATAATTGACATTTGTAGTAAAAAGTTTTAAATCAGCTGTTGTAATCGGAGTTGATAGGCGATTGTCAAGTTTCACATGGAGGTCGAGTCGGAGTCAAAATTTTCTATAGAAATTAAAAGTTAAATTTACTAAGCGTTGTTGACAGTTTATTAAAGGATTGCATACGTGAAGATTTTCTTATCGAAATTTGAGTTTCACAGAAGCTTGGCTCGGGTAGGAGTCGAACTTGTTACCAATTTGTAGTCAGTCGGAGTTAAAATGAAAGTTTTTTTACAACCCGGGGTTGAAATCGATTGTAAACTTTCTGGTTTAACGTTCAAGCGTTTTGGTGGAAATAACCTTATGATCTTATTTCGCCGAAGTTTTGTTGAATTGAATGCCATTTAAATAACAAAAAATCTGAGTAATCTTCAACAATAACTATGTAATTGTATTCAGCACATGTGAGTAGTTAACAATTAACAGAGAATAATTTCGTTATTCAGTACCACCTCTGGAAGTTGTTGAACAAATGTCAGATGTTGAAATATATGAAAAGGATACTGCTTCTTTCCAAATTACGCTTTCAAGAAAACCTACTGACAGCCCAACCTGGAAACTAAACGATAAACGCATCGTTAACTCTAACAGATCTCAAGTATGCCTTCTTCTTCTCTTGTTCTCTTATTCTCTCGTTTTTCTCCTTTGCCTTTTTCTTTTTCTTTCTCGAAACCTAATCTCATAATAACATGGCTGTTTCACACGACAGGTGACATGTTCTGGAACAACTTGCAGCGTGACTGTACGAATGTTAATGCGCCCGGATAGTGGCGTCGTAAAATTTCAGTGCGAAGATCTTGTTGCCACAGCTACACTTAGTGTTAAAGGTTTGCTTTAGATTTACGACATAATAATTAGATTAATAAATACAATATGAACATCCATACTAAGATTTGTCTTCGTTTCAGCTCCTCCCGCAATATTTTCCAAGCCAATATCCAACATCTCAGTACTAGAAGGCAAAGACGCCATTTTTACTTGCGAGGTTTCAGCAGAATCTGCAACTGTGGAATGGAGAAAAGGTTGTGTAGCAAAAAAGATGATATATATTTAAGTAAAAATAAATACTATAATTAACGGGTATTTAATACTGTAGGAGAGTGAATTGAACTTTATCGTTTGATAGAATCAAAATCAGAAAGTTATTTCGCTATTGAATTTGAACTTTAAATTACAGGTGAAGAGGTTTTAAAAAATTCTCAGAAATATGGCATTGCAAAAGTTGGAAGATCACGAACACTGAATGTCAAAAATATTTTATTTGATGATGCTGGAATGTATGAATGCCACACTGAAGTCGACGCAACTGAGGCAAAGCTCACAGTTGAAGGTGAAGTAATTGAATTATTATTTTATAATAGAGATAATTTGGTTGGACGTATTATTTAATTAAGCCAAGATTGGTGTATTTTATTGTAATTTCGTCTGCTAACCTATTCAATGTATGTTTCGCTAAACCAAATCAAGCTCAATATTTGCGAGGGTATAAACTGATTATGGGTCAGTAACAGGTGCCAATTATTATAGCCGAGACACACTTTCAGTAAGCTTTTCTATGGGGCATGCACAAATCTTATTTTGCAAAACTCAGATGACAAATAGCATGGGGGTATCTTTTCCAAAATTTAGGTTCCCTTTTCATACCTGCATATCGAAAGGTATAGCACTACGTATTAAATGTTATTATCATTACCACTTTTATTATAGCTCCAATACTTGAAATAGTTGAAGATATTGAGGACGTTGAAACGACTTTGAGTGGAAACGCTTCGTTCACACTCAATCTATCTCTACCTAATGTACAAGTAACGTGGTTCAGAGACGGAAAAGTATTAAGAAATGTGGAAAAGAGGTAAAACGAATATACAGTTACTCATTGTTGTAATGGACATCTTTATGCATTGAATAACAAATACACATTATTTTATTTATTTATTTATTTAGGATTCAAATTGCGAGTGAAGGTAGATGGCACGCATTACACATGCGAAAACTAGAACTCAAAGATTCTGGTTTGATACGTGTGAAGGTTGAAGACAAAATTCTGACGGAAGCTGTCTTAGTAGTAAAAAGTATGTAGACATTTACTTTTTGTTTATAAAGCTGTGAAGAATTAGAAAGTAGAGTGCGATCAAATTGCGCTACGAAAAACTAGGATGACGAAGGGTATGCATCGGAGATACAATTCCGATCATGTAATATGGGAAGTAGGGTTCAAACTTCATCAGCCGCGTTTCATCTAAATTTGTACTATAGTAAAAGAATAAATTTACAATCTTGTTACTCCAATTTACACATAACCTGATATAATCTTAATTTCATTTCAGAGCCACCGCCAATATTTACAAAAGAGCTGTTCGACCAAGTGATTGACTTGAAGAAGACAGCAACGTTCTTATGTGAAGTTTCTGACGCAGAAGCCAATGTTATTTGGTACAGGGACGATATTGAGGTAGAAATTTTTAGCCTGGGGAGTGTATATGCATGCAATAATGGATTTTTTTATTGTGTCATAAAATAACAAACCTGATTTTTGTATGAGCGAAAAATGTGCTACCACTGGTTTTCACTCTAGTTGTCATTCATACGACTGTGGTGGGATTCAGGCGGTTCGAACTGGTTTGCGCAAACCTGTTTTCGAAATGTCGTGGTAATCGGCGAACCAGTTCTTGCTTTTGATTTTGAAATTAGACGACCAAAGCAACGGTTAAGGTGCACTGTCAGCTATGCGTTCGTCGACATGGTTTTTTGAAATAATGAAATCTGTTGTTAGTAAGTTCGACTCAAAAGAGAAACTTTTTTTAAATATTTCCGACTAGAGATTTCCCCGTTGTCAACGAAATTTCTATGCCAATATTTTTTTCCAAGAACCTCGGGTGTGTCAAATATATGGTGTGCCACTTGCACCACACGTTCCACTTTCACCTTTTTTCGGAATTCCCTTCCGCGTGGATCGTTACTATTAACAATGTTCATTCAAAATGTTTGAGTCCAATCGGTATTTAATCTGTCGGTAGCGCAAATATCTATCTTGCACAAGTATTCAATGATCGCTTATGATTCTATCAGTGCCCTTTCCGATCTATACGGGACATTGTCTGGAAGAAATCGAAACGGGATTTTCATCTATGTGGTTTTCTAAACATATTCTTTGTCTAAAATGCTAAATCGAAACACTCCGTTGCACAGATTGTACCCGAATCGGAAGACAACTCGTTTCTCAAGTTTCGATTATTGAACGAAGGTACGGTTCGTAAGTTGACAATTGAACGAACATCTGTTCATCACGAGGGAAAATATTCCTGCATAATTGCCGACAGTGGATATCGATGTGCATGCGAACTTTTTGTTCGACGTAAGTAAAATATGGAAGCATTAGATATCATTTACTCAAAGTGTGTTCTAAAGTGCATAATAGTTCATGAGTACAGTGGAAATGTATATGCGGAATCGGCTGTAATTTATTGATAAGTACTACCGATGTCGGGAAGTTTATGTGCACAATATATGTGTTTATTTCAACATAAAAAAATGAATGAAAAGAAAATTTTACGGGCTAATTTATATAACATATGAGGACGTGTTCACCACCGACTGCGAATTGAGATTCACAGTATCGCTTGTTATTACAACAGGAATACATAAAATCACGGGATTGTTTTACTAGCTGGAAGTTTTTTTTTTGAGTTACAGCCATGCCCATATTATTTTCATAATTTATAACAATAGTAATTTCATATGATAATTTTAGTACCCAATGTGAAAATTATCAAAGAATTACAAAACGTCGAAGTCTATGTTGGGGAAGAAGCTGAATTTAGAACCGAAGTATCCTGTGCTGAAGTTGATGGAGAATGGATGTTGGATAACGTGAGACTACACCTTGGAGATAATGTAAGCGGTGCCCACTTTTGTAAAAGTTTTTTGTGCATTTTTATAAAACAATGAAGCACTTCAGTGTGGTAGAGAAAGCAAGGTTTTACATTAAAAAATTTAACATAGTTTAAGTTTGAAGAAGATCTCAATTTACCCATTTAGGTCAAAAAATAGGTCATTTGGAACGTATTCTAAAAAAAACACAACTTTTGTACAAATCTTCCCTAGAATACTAAACTTTGGTTACAATCTTACACAAACAGAAGATCAGGTATTACATTTTATTTTTGGAAGTAATTAAGAAATTTATGGGTTTAATTTCTTTGGGTCACCCTGGATATGCTCAGTATCGACAACTAAAATTTAATTTAAAAAATAGTAGATCATGGAATAGTCGTGATAGTTTGGTATGGGCCATATATATTGAACGCAGCATCGTGTCACGGGCCTTGGTACATGCTTAACTAATGGAAAATCCTGTATAGCGTTCAATTATCTATTTCTTTGAATTTCGAAAAAATTTTGAAGTGAAAATATTTTTAACGTACTATTAACGAAAACAATGATAGTAATGAAGTCCAACCTCTTTTTCAGATTGAATTTTACAAGGAACATGAATTGCGAGTATTAAAAATTAGCAATGTTAAAGATTCTGCCGCTGTCTCTTTCAAAGCTGCTAAGAACGTGGTATCTACATGCAAACTAACAGTATCCGATCGTCCGGTGAACATAGTACGACGACTTTCTGACACAAATGTTCGAGTAGGGGATAACATCATACTGGAATGCGAATTCAATCAGCCTGGACTGGATGTAAGTTAATATTTATGAATCATACTCGTATTTATAACAGAATTAAGTTGCAGTCGTCAATTTACTGTAGATTTTAGTAGTAATTGAATGAGATTTGATATAAAGTCATACACACATATTTGAAGATGGAAGTTCTGTCATTTTCAGTCCGTTTTCATTGCAATAAAGCAGATGGGTTTCCCATTGTAATATATCAGAACGCTTATACTAGGACCAAGGTAAAAGCGTGACCCAAGAAAAATATTATCCATGTCATTGAAACATATTCTAGATCTGGAGAGAACATAACTTTTGTGCAGAGCGTCCTACATTACTGACACTTTTGGGTACAACCATACGCGAACAGAAGTTCAAATGTTAGGTGTTAAACAAATTTCTTTGTTTTCGTGGAAGTAATTAAAGAATCAATGGGATTTTTTCTTTTGAATCACCCTGTACATGGCTTCTCCGATCTATTCGCCAGCTGAATTCCATTTGAACCCTGGTAACATACTACTGTCGCGAAACCAGGTTGTGGATATTATTTCTATAAAATAAAAATCTGATCATGAACACTTTACTATGTGTTTTAGTCAATATCATCTTCACTGAACTTGTCAAATTTTGCCAAGGCCTTTTATACAAATTAAGCTTAAACAAATCGACCATGAAGAGCTTGGCTTGGCAAATTTCTTATGGTCGCGCAATCAAATTATTTAACATTGAATCTCCCACTCCAGGCGGTTTGGTTATATGATGGTGAAAAGATTGAAGAATCAGAGAAAATGTCGATATCAATAGAAGGTACAAAACATATTCTGAAACTGACCGATGCCAGATATGACGACGAAGGAAATTATACGTGCAGATATAAAAATAGAAGGTATGGTGGAACTATTGTAATTCAATATAATTCAAAAACCTAATGAAGTCAAGCACGAAAAAATCAAAACGAATTTGTCTAAACGCAGGACTAGAAGAAAACCATTAACGATTGAATTTGAGTTGAATCTCGGATGTGAAGTACGTAATTTTAGTCTAAGCCAGTTTCCAATCTTATGAATCATTGTTGAATTTTGCGGATTATTAATATCAAAATCATGTTAGGTAATTATGTTAACCTAAATTCTGTTGCTTGATTCGATTTATGTCTCCAAATTCGATACTTATACATAAATTAGAACTAACCATGGGATGAATCAACCAAAGCTCCGACTCCAACAAAACTGTCAAGTCAAATCCTCTCACTCTCATTGAGCTCGACTTGATTGTTTCAAATAATGTAAGTCGTCCGATTCTAGTCGAGCACCTAATCATGTCGTCTCATTTATGAAGTAAAAGTTAAAATTTTTGAATTTGGTTGAGCAAATACCCATACTTTATACATTACGTAAAATGCATATTGGAGATTTTACTTACTTAGAAAATCCAAAGATTAGCCTTCATCTCAAACAATATGACCCGTACTTATAGGTCGTGTTTTCACCTCAATGCATTTGCATATTTGCACCTACACATCAAAATTGTCCAATTTCTTCTAATTCAGAACATCAGCTGAGATCAAAATCCGCGAACCACGGGTTCACGTAATTGAGGAACTTCACGATGTAACCTTATCTGAGGGTATGGAGACGAAATTGGAATGTACTTTATCGTACTCGGGAGCTGAAGTTACGTGGAAGAAAGACGGAGAAATAGTTGGAACAGAAATTCAAACATATACAGAAAAGGTTCGAACCTAGAATACCAACTTAAAGCAGTCTGAATAAGTAATGAATTACGGTCATTCGAAAACAGTAGCCATTTATTAATTATTAGTAGCTTCTGGTGCAGAGATTTATACGGAGTGAAAGCGTGAAAAAACTCATCTGATAATCAAAGACATAACAAATAGTTTTTTTTTTGTGGAATAAGCAATTTCTGGTTATATCGACGTACTACATCGCAAAATCGCAAGACATTTTTATGAAAATCTTCCATGTATTATCTCTATGAGTGAATTATTTTTTTTAAATTTCCCGAGCTGGTTTTTAGCTTCTGATGTTTATATGACTTTTCATTTTATTTTAGGGAGAACATTTTTCAAAGCACACATTACTAATCGTGAAATCGCAAATTTCATCATCGGCAATATATGAAATATTGATGGGAGAAAGACTTCTCAGTACTTCAAAGGCATGTATCCTATAATAGTGCTATCTTACGTTTTTCATCCTATCATAAAATAACCTAAACCGCTCCTAAATATTAGAAATAAATGCTTAATTATGACCCAGCGTTACAAAATAGACGGTAAAGTTTCATATTAAAATTGTTTACATAATTAACCCGTGATATATATTGAAATACCGATGACGATTGTTAGTCGATTTTATTGCAATAATTCCAATCGACTTGGCATTCATCATAATTACATGTCTCACAACCTGGATTAATATTTATATAAGGCCAATCCATCCTCAAGTGTATTCATTTTCAATATTCAGGTTGTAGTACGCCCCGCACCTGTGACAATTTTGCGTGAGATGGAGGACGCATACGTCAGAGATGACGTAGAGAGTACTCAAATGGAATGTGAATTCTCTGGAAGCACAGATGTCGTATGGAAAAAAGACCACAAGAAATTAAAAGTACATAGCTTAGATCTATTGGGAAGACATCGTAGGTGCTCGAAATATTCCCACGCCTCGAGCGAGTTTCGATTTAAGTCAATTTAGGAAAATTTAGGTTTTGACGAAACTACCAATATGAAGGATTAAAATTGCCATGTAACGCACGTCATATATCACACGTGCTCGGTGTGTGCATAAAGCAATAAAAATATTGCAGACTTCTGAATAGTACAATTTTGTGGGTAACAATTTTTTAGGTACTGAACACAATTTTTATATTTTTTACGTTGAAAAAAATACTTAGAATAGTGAGAGTAACACAATGGAGTATGTTTTTATAAAAAAAAAAATTTGCATGAAAAAGGGTGTGATTTTATATTTTTTTTATTTGATTTAAAATTATATAGATTTTAAAGTTTTCTAATTGATATTTGCAATAAAACTGCATAAAAACATACTCCAGTGTGCTATTTTGGGTAATTTGGGTGAGTAGTAACTTAGTATTGAGATCGTTACGATAATAGGTGCGTTAATTTGAATGTAGGTCTTTTGGTCAGAATCCAGTCAATCTGGAGAATATAATTCCTACCAAGTTCCAAAACCCTTATTTTATATATGAAGTTTTGATATAAAGCAAAATATCAAATTCATAAACAAGTATTGTTTTCTAAAAATAATCATAATTTTTAGGTGATAATGGTGGTACTAATGATTTTGACTCCAGGAAATACACTGAGTAACCGGTCCTGTGGAGAGTTACCATATTTTGGAATGCAATAATATTCCCGTTATGCATACCCTGCGCATTTTAAATCTTGTGTAATGAAATGACCTGGAATTTTGATTCAAAATCTCTAAACTGCGCGTACACAGATCGATAAAAAAATATTTATTAGACGTCACGTTTTTTGGTATTATGACGTTTTATTGTGGGTATGGGCTTCCTAATTTGTTCGATTGAATTGCAAGATTGCAGTTAACGCATATCCCCCCCAAAAAATAAAATCATGTCTGATGTAATATTATAGTTTCCGGGGATCCAAAAAACACCACAATAGGTTTTCATTGTTGCGTAAAATGCAAAATATGACATCATATTAGGACGTCAAAAATATTCAAATTTTAAATGGGGCCCTCGCAACGAAATCCTGCTTTCGCCACTGGTTGGACTCAACGCATTTTTCTACTGTGACTTGTTTCATCATATTTCATATCAGTTATTGGCAATCGCCAATATATTTGACCCTTGTGAATAGAATGTAAAAATTAATTGAGCATTAATTGAAATAATAACGTCAAGCGCTTTTGTTTAAACAAACAAACTAAAAGTAAACTGAATATTTGTTACAAAATTCGGTAAATGTTAAGTTACCACTTATTAGTTATCCCAGTCAAATTACACAAACAAGCATAAAAACACATGTTGTTTATTATTAATAGTATATAAGTATTAGGTATTATTATATAGGTATTAAAATAAGATACGTGTAAATTAATAAATTTATGCTCGTCTATGAAAATGTGTTATTGTCGCTACTGACCACTAAATTTTTTCCAAGAATCATGCGTACGAGATATTCCAAAACACTGGCAAATAACTGTTTCTCGTTAGACAATCTAACCACCAACCTCTATTTATGTCAATTTTATTATGTGAGCATATATTTTCTAATAGCGGTTGACTTAGAACGCCTGATTCTATCTTCAATAGTGATGATCCGCTATCTTTCTTACACGGACTCGTTATTCCAATTCACATGTCTCGCCATCTTTTCTGTTTACTAATTACTTTCGAATTCAAGTGGAATTTGGGACCATATATATATATATATATATATATAATCATCCGAATTTACCCTTAATACAGACTCGGATTTAGTTACTGCTGTTTTCTGGAAGACTGTTAAAACGCTTAGTAAACCTATTACTTCTCGAGATCTTGTATCAAATTACTTTTTTTATCACCTTTGAAAGTCCGAAATTCCGACTGTCGACTGATGGAAATTCGAAAATACGATTACAGCTTCCACTCTCGTGAAAACATGCCAAACTCAGACTCTTCCATCTAACCTGCAACCTTCAGTAACTTTATGCTTGATAAAGTTACTGAAGGTTGCATATACACACTATCATTGATTTTTCAGGATTCAGAAAAGCATGCTATTTCATCTGGAAATAGCAAGAAGATTCATTATCTTGAAATCAAATCTCCTTCTGTATCTGACCGTGGTTTATATACCTGTCAGGCATTACAAGGGAATTGCGTTACTCAAGGCCATCTAGTTGTAACAGAGTATCAAGTGCAATTCGAATCACCTCTGCAAAGTACTACAAAAGTGAAACTAGGTAAAGTTAATTTGGTGTTAAAATTCAAGTCAATGTTAAGTGGGTAAAACGATAGTTTTTCAAAATGTTTGCACACTACAACTTTGGATGACCGTAGAGTGTACATGAGTTTTTTGGCGCGTACTTTACAGTTTGACATAGTTTATCAAACTTATTACACGGTGGTATAGTGACGAATCAGAACTCTGATATAATTACCAACTTTATCTTATTACTCAACCCAACAAGTCAGTCAGTACCTAACCACCATGCGTTAATTTTTACTGTTTTACTCTACGAGAAAATAGACACGGACGTCCCAATCACTCATTAAATTACATGTCGGTAATCACGTATGAAAGTACTTGTCTATCTGTTTTACAAATGGTATATCCAATTCCGAAAAATAGTTTTATTGCTTATTTCCATTTCAATTTCTTCTAAAAAAATCTAAATGATGTCGGCCACCTATTAATTGTGGCACATATGTGTAGTAAAACTTGCAAAACATATGAAACGTGATAGTTCTGTTCATATTTCGAATGTCTATACATACGTACTTCATTATAGAAATGAGTAGACCTAAAACAGAATAAAAAGTATTGGCTGTATAGACGTTTGAAACGCTGACAGAAAAACACCGTTTGCTTTATACCAGTTGCGCATGTTTTTTCACCTTGTTCTACGAGGTTCTTGTATGTCATATTTTTGTCTATATCAGTTGTATTTTTCTTTAGGAAGCTGCGCTGTATTCCAATGTACTTTAACATTATCTGTTGATCGCGATGAAGTTGAATGGTTCATAAACGGAGAGAAGGTATCGACATCATCGTGGCAGGAAGGATGTGGAAAAGTGCGCAGAAGAGCAATCGGGAAGTTACACTCTCTCTCGTTTGATAATATTCAAGAAAGCCTGAATGAAGCCATATTGGAATTCAAATGCAGAAACGCCGAGTCAAGGTTTGATATTTTCCCGACAGATTTAGTGCACTAACTTTTTTTTTACCACAAAAACTAGTGCTCCCGAAGTATGTGCACCAAGATGGCGTACAACCCGAACATAGTATGTGTACCAGGTTAGAGTTATCAGGTTGTGCGCCATCTTGGTGCACATACTTCTGAAGCGCCCAAAAACTCAATCAGAAGAAGTTAAAATCTGAATTCTTCCGCAGGTCGACAATTGCAGTGGTCAGTACTCCCGGCAAAGTTTGCAACCTATCACACGAATACAATTTCGACAACAACTCATTGGATGTTTTCTGGATTCCTCCTGCAAGTAATGATGGAAGCGATGTGAAACATTACATTGTATCTCTTCTAACGAAAGATGATTCCGTAGAGACATACAAAGAAGTGCCAGCCTCGTCTGACGACACCTTAAGTGCCACGTTAGAGGAGATTAAATATGACGTAGAGTATAGGTATGTGTTTTTATTTACGGATAGCGATAATGGGATAAATTGAATTTTTCACGCCAGACCTAAGTAGACCCTTGGCCCAGCAATACTGCCTCGTGTTGATCGAAGTGATAATCTTATTAAGGCAATAATAAAAAAAATCCTGTTCGCTGACCCGATCACTACCAAAGTAAATGCCTCTTTCATATTTTGGAAACAACTAGTTTATATTCATTGTTTATGAATATTGTTTTTATTTTTCCATGTATTCACTATGCCCCTCCATTAACAACTTATACTATTTTCCTGTACAGGCTAAGCGTTGTGGCTGTAAATTCAGTTGGGCATGGAGAAACCTCTATCTGTGACGGTGTCAAAATCACGTGTCCGATAGAGTTCGTTAGGAAACCTGAAGATATTCGTGTGAAGGAAGGACAGTGCGTAGAAATAGTTTTTCAGGTAATGTGATTTCAGATTTCATCAGCCAGTATTTTTGCTTTTTCTTTTATGACATGTTATTTATCTTGGTTGCCTCAAGTTATAAAAAGATTAAATTAATTGATGGCTTAAAATAATTAAATCATCAGTCCATTTCATCTCCATTTTTAACATTTCAAATGCACAAAATATTTTTTATTTTAATTTTTTTTATGCTCTCCAATCAACTCCTCTGATCGTATATATGTATATATTACTGTATATCTACCATCTACATGGTAGTTATGCCAATGTTGCCGTATGGTTTAACCCATTTATTTTAGATTTCGAAATCGTTTCGTGGTCACACTATATGGAAGAAAGACGGTCATATAATTGAGGAAAATGAACGAGTTATGCTTCTCGGAGATTCTGTACTTAGAGAATTGGTACTTGAAGATTCACAACCTTCAGATACTGGTGATTACAGGTGAACTAAGCTTATTTTTCGCAATACCGCATTTCAATTTTGTTACCTGATTGTTTTGTCGTTTTCCCGCGCAATCAATTTATTGTTTTCTTTTCTTTTTACTCCTCGCACCAGTCGCACACGAATGGTTATCCGTTGGATGGTTGTCCCCAGAAAAAATTCTTCCTACATTTTAAATGTGCAAACTTTTATTGTTCATTTTGAAATTGAATGGTTTACAAACAAACTGTTTACATGATCATTCTTGTTATTTTGATTCAAAATACCTACCCACTTGCGTTTGAAAAAAATACTGATGACTAATCTCAGTCTAGTATACTGCAGCAATTTTAGGTCAATTACTTCGCCTAAACTAAAAATAAACATCAAGTTATTTAACTAAATTTTGGAAACGCAACTAAAAACTGACAATGCTATGAGTAGGAGCCAATGTACACAATCATGCTTGAAAAAATTGACATTGTCACTTATGGCATCTTGCTTATTATCCAATGTTACAAAAGTCTATTTTTGAATTATACGTGAATCCATTATTCTTTACAGTTGTATAGTCAATGACATATGTTCGTCATGTCATGTTCAAGTTGATGCCGCTATAAAGTTTCTGACTCCCCTTACTGATGTACAAGGTATACTCGGTAACGTGGCAACACTCTCTTG